TTTCGAGGAGACTTCACATGTTGCAAGTACGAGGAGAGGATTAGGCGATTTGGGACTCGGCTTGAGTTATAAATGATTTTACATGAGAGTCGCAGAGATTCCGCATGCAACAATTGTGAGAAGCCGTTTGGATGACGAAAGTCGTTCCAAATGTCTTCTTGCACTTGTCGCATGCGAAATCTTTGAGACTTTTGTGTATTGTCATTTGTAATTCACGTCGTGTCCCAATTCGTCTAATTTTCTCCTCGAACTTGTAGCAGGTGACATCTTTGCGAGAATCGTTTAATGGTTTTTGATAAAAAAGAAACGATGTTTAAGTCTGCGTTTCCTTTCCAATCCGTTGCAAGCGGAATCTCAGCAACTATTCTGAAGGGTTGTTTCATGATGATTACGAGCAAACGCCACTTGTGCCCAATTTCCTTTAAGGGGTTTTTCACTATCTACTTCTATTTGTCAAGTAACGGAACAATTATGACGATTATGAGCCTAGAAAATGATAAATTTTCGATACTTTTTTATTTTTTGTAATGCATACTTTTTTGAACTATGCTTGTTTTTTGCTTCGCGTGTCTATTCATGGTTCATTTCATCAAAATTTTATTAATTTAATTGTTTTACTCAAAAATGGAGAAATTGACAAAAAAGATTTTTTTGGATCATTTTTGGTATTTTTGATTTCTGGCCATTTTCGATAATCCAAAAATTTTATCAGAAAATTATGATAAAATTCAGGAGTCTTTTTTGAACAATTATAAGGACTTTTTCGAAGTAAAGTTTTTTCCTAGGTGATCGGTTAGCATATAAAACAATTCACCAAGTTTATACATGGATTTTTTTTACGAGGCGCCATTTTGTTGTCCACCATGTTGAATTTCGATATTGTAACTATTGGACTTTTACGTAAACACCTCATGGACGCAAAAAATATGTGTTAGATGCTCCGTTCAAGTCTCTTCTGATTCGAAAATTTCGAATCAAATCGAATCAAAATTTTTTTCAAAAAAATCGTGTTTTTTGTTGTGCAATTGTTCATAACTGCTGCTCCTCAACTTTTTTGACAATTTTGACACCGGATTGAAAATGTTCATAAAAGTTCACGCCAGAAATGACTATTTAAACATTTATCAGATATTTTTTTCACAAAGTTTATAGCACCGGAACAAATGTAGGAAATTTCGTCGGTTTAGCCCAAAACGGGTTAATTGGGTGATTTGAATGTTATGAATGCCCGCGAATAAACTGTAGTTGTCCACATTTCTGAATGTTAAATGTTAGGAATTATGATTATTCTTCTAAGATTTTAACACTATATTCCACTTATTTTTTTGCTTCGAATGAGCTGGAATGAAAAAAATTTACACAATATTTTTGAGTTATAAACAAACCTGTAGAATAATTCAAAATCGTGGTGATAGTTTTTTCAAAAGTTTAAATAGGGACAAGTACGACAGTTCGATCCCTACTATTTGAGCTTTACTCCAAAGTTCTTTCTTTTTCTGATTGCCGATATCTTTAATCTTAATTCATCTTTGATTAATTATTTAGCTATGATAGTAATGAAACAGATTATGTTTCGACATCTATTCAGCATAACTGAAATTTTAAATGATTAATAATATCATTGGTAAAAATTATAGTACACTTAACTTTTCTTATGGACTCTACTTATTCAGACGTCTCGAACAAATTCAAAATGTTCGCTATCGTCATACGTTTAATGAAAATTGTCAATAAAAATTTACAATAAAGTTAATGATTTTAAATGAAAATATTTAGCTATTTGTTGAACAAAATTTTAAGAAATTTGTACAAGTGCATGGACGGCGTCACATATGGAGCTATCACGATCAATGCTACGCACATTATGAATTCGAAATAAATAAAATCGTCGTCCATCTGACGTGAAAAAGGTAAAATATAATGTACCCGACGAGAGCCTGGAATTACTGCTCGGTAGATAAGTGAACGTGGCATGTGTATCAGCGGCAACTAGCGCCATCAACGTCGACGATTCGGACTATTATCAAACTCAAGAGTCTCGAGTTCGCTGCGTTATACGCTGCTTACGAACGATTTGTCGCTTATACTTATTAGGCTATTCGGTATTATAAGATCGACAACGAGCTGCAATTTTCGATACACGTGCGCGTATCGTAGCTGAGCTGAGAATCGAATCGATCGAGTTCATTGAATTCGCTGATTATAATGGGCACATTTAATAATCGTGCGATTTCACTTCGCGCGGCGAATCCAAAAACAAAGGAGACACGGAGCGGAAATCAAAGGACATTATCGATCTGTTGTCGTCCGCGCCGAGTGTCCGAGTTCGCGTCCTTGTCCCCCATCCCTCTGCACAATTCAAGTGTGTATATGCAAAGCTGCCGCAGCAGATATTGTTTACGCTCGAGAACGTATACTATGTGCATTATATTCGGCTATGCTTCGTGTGCCATTGTCGTTACGCCCGACTGATTTATTTAATTACATTATTTACTGTCTGCAGCGCGCGTCGCACACAAATTATTATTATTACAACCTAGACGCGAGGAACGCGACCGAATCAAGTCGCGAGCGTTACAAGAGGTATGCAACATCATCGCGTGATCGTTCGCGCGTCGCGTTTGTAACGCCACGAGGCTTATAGACAACTCAGCACCGGTTATACGTACTATTCGATATACTACATTTCGATCGCGCATACAAGATTATATGCATAAACTACAACCGAAATACGAAAATACCACCCACCCACCCAGAGTAGCTATTTTTGAAATTCCCGGAAACACAGCTTATATACTCGCGCGTTCGCCGGCCGCGACGAGAGATTCTCGTGAAAAATCGTATTATTACCGGCTCTACGAAATTACGCAATCGATCCTCGCGCGAGCTCAACGATCGACTTGCAATAGCGATCGTAATAATAACTCAACGTCTGTATACAATGCGAATGTACACGCGTGCGGCACATTGAACGTGAACTTTCGAGAGCGTACATAAATAATAAATCGTATCGCGCTCGAGCGATCATCATCATCATCATCGATCTCACTCGTCTCTTATCGTGTGTCGCGAGTTCTGCGATCGCATCGAGCTCTCACGCGTACATATACTTTGTCATATAAAAAGTCGGAATCGTTTATCGCGCGCCATGATCGTCGTAGTTCCTGTACATTATGTATTGAAAAAAAAGCTGGTAATATAAAGACGTCGTATTATTGCTTTAGATCGAATGCGATTTACCATAACGAAATTAGCATACATCGTACAATGTGCGAAGCAAGTGCATAATGTACCAACGGTAGCCAACACGTGACAAGAAAATTTGGAATCTTATTTGCAGAGCTGGAAAGTTTGATCGGAGCACAAAAGTCCACACGATATACGCCATGTATAATTTACTCATTATACAGCGATGGATGAGACACTCGGCGCCCGAAGTATCGATCGTGTCCCCGCGTACATACGTCTCGTTTACGTATATTACGTATATTTACGTATATTTTTTTCTGTATGTTATGCGCGCGCGCGCCCAAAGGAAAAAACGCCGATTCATCTTTATCTCCGCGAAATAAGCCGACGAACGAAGCGCGCGCGCTTTGGGTTTTTTGTGTGTAGAAATAAGAAATAATAATGACGAACCGGATGTATCGGACGCAAAAACTGCGACGTCCGTATAAGCAGATATTCGGCTCGGTATGTACCTATACCCTCTAAAAGTCCTGCCCGGCACGGGTATACAACATTTGAGCGCGTCGTAAGTAATAATACATGTACCGTACGATCGGCAGAAAATTTTCTCATAATTTGCATGTTAATCGCGTGCTCTGACGATATTCCGCGTGAGCTGCATCGGATGCATTTTATAACTCGAGCAAACTTGGGAAAATTTTCATCGCGCGCCAGTCTATACAGTCTGTCTATATATATTATAAGAAGCGCGTGTGTCTATTTGTGACCCGATTATTTTGCGAGATTTTTTTGCGAACGATCATCGTAATGTAACGCAAGTGTGTCTGATAAGTGCACACACAATCACACGGCTCGTCGCGCGTATCCGCGAATATACATCATTTACTTTTATATGTATATGACTTTCGACTTATCTCTCTCGTACGGCTTCTTTTCTGAATGAATGAGAATGTATTTATAGAAGATGCTGGCAATCGGTTCTTCGACGATTTCTTTTCTTTTTTCTCTCTCTCAAGACGAATCGGGTGCATTCGTAGGTGTGAGATTTCGTCCGCGGGCTTTCTAAAAACTCATTATGTCATACGGTTTCCAACGACTCGAGGTAACGACGCGTGAATTATCTTACAGCGTTCGTCTCGGCGAGGCAGATAAAGACGTTGTTTTCGATGGCAATCGATCACAAGTGGGTAATGTAATTAGTAGACACTTTACACACGATACGTGACATGATCTTTTCAACAGCGTGGGTACCCCCCGCGATATTTGCTCTTATAATTACTTATTTCATTTCAATGGCCGGGGCATGTGTAATACAAGAGTACAGCTGCGTGCACCTGTCTCTTTCATTACGTATGCGCGTCGACGGCTATTCGAAGACAGTCGACGTTCGTTAGCTGCCACAATAATACAGAGATTTGGTATGTGTTGCGGCGGCCACATGGTTACAATTGAATATACAACCAGATCGGAACACGAGAATCAACGAGATGAGCAGAATCTGAATACGGCAATCAAAGACAGGCATTGTACGTATATCGATGCGCGCAAGCGTCGAAACTCATGCATAGCAGTGACTTCCCCTCGCGAGCCGCGACTCACATCGCTGCTGCCGCTGCTGCTGCTCCACTGCTCCACTCACACGCCGCGACTATCACACTCAGCCATCCACATATTAATATATCCCCCCGCCCCGCGGAATCGCAGTTTCGCAGTTATAATATAAAACATGACTCGCATATATATTTTGAGTCGAGTCGCGTCTGTAAGTATATCGAGTCCGTTCGCTATATATATACAGTCTCGCGCGCAGCCGCACACACTGCACAATTGTCAATATATACATGCTGTGTGTATATGTGTAAAATACAACTACTGCTGCTACTGCTGACCTCTCTTCCCTTGTGCGTTGCGTTGCGCTGCGCGAGTTTTTCAGTTGTATGTAGCAGTAGTCAAGTCAGCACAAGTCGAGTCGCGAGTCAGTATACCGGCAGCACTCGGCCGACCGACACACCACAGTACAAAGCGGCACTCCAACTCCGAAATATTATTATCCACGCGCGCGACTCGTTACAAGCACTTACCCATAGATTATGTATGTCGTAGTGACTCGCGAATAAGACAACACCACCACCAGCAGAGACGACGGACAGATAGATAGTTGTCTCGTGAGCTGTCAGTTTTGTCGTGTTGAGTGTCCGTCTGTGTGTGTGTGTGTGTCTGCAGACGCAACTACCGTCCCTGTGTGTGTACAAAGTGTGTCTTTGCTGCGTGTTTATACATAATTCAACGCCGGTTCCGCAGCAGGCCGAGAACTGCGAGTCTCAGCTTTATTTTACCTGCGGCACGACAACGCATCGCAGCAGCAGCACAAGCTTTTTTACGCTTAATAAGAAGTGTCGCGACTGGCAAGTTTTTTTTGTAAAATATACAAGTGCGACCATCAACGCAGCAGCAGCAGCATCCATAGCCTTGACTGCACACGGCCACGGACAGAGTGAACATATATATCCAATATATATAGCTCTGCGGCACACGCATGTATGGCCCGATAAGGTACTTAAATTCTGGTACAATTATTTTTTGTAATTTATGTACAGCTCTCTCGAGTTGCTCTCTGTTCGTTCGTATAGCTCCGATCGGAATTCGCTTGCGGTCCTCACCGAACCCCCTCAAAATCTACTGACACAGACGCAGACTATATAACTATTTGGCAAAATTGTGGGCCACGAAACTCTATCTCTCTCTCTCTTTCTCTCGTATATGTACACATAACACAGCGATGTTTTTCATCCATTCGAGCGTCGAGCTGTGGCTGCAGACAGACAGATACGGCTCAAAGATAGAAACATTGGCCCGGAGCCTCGATTCTCTCGCAGCTCTCTTACCTCTCTCTCTCTCCGAAACACATATATTACTCTCTGCCATGTAAATGCTATACTACCTTGCGCCTCTCAGAAAAAATTACGTAACGCCGCTTTTTTTTGGTGTTCCATTTCGCGCGAGTAAATAATATACATAACGCAGGTTTGACGTTGAGCGCGGATTCGGTATATAGAAACGTATATGTACGCGAGATGCAATTCGGAGTCCTCGAAACGTCAGCAGCAGCAGCAGCAACGGCATGATACACGGTGGGGGCGGCGGCGCGAGGCGAAGAAACCAAAACCGGTAAGTATAGCTGGCCGCCGAGCGAGAGCTGCTGCACAGACATATCGGAAAAAGAGGAGGAAAAATAAAAAAAGTAAATAATACAAGCGATCACGGATTTCAGAGAGGAGTTCGCGAAGCGTCATTTCTGCTGCGTTGCCTAGAGAGAGCTCGGAGCGAAGGAGTTTTTCGCACGAGGCGGACTCGCGTAGGATGTGTGTACGTGTGCATCGTATAACAGATATGTCCGTGTGGTAGATGTGCAAAAGCCCTCCGCACCTGCGCAGCAGCAGCGGCAGCACGTCGACTCGCGGTCGTCTGCAGACAATACAGCAGCGTGTCTCGAGCTATATATTTACATGCAAGCAGGCAGCGGAGCATATACGCTGCTTTACGTCACGTTTTTTATCGAGCGGGCCGCGGCGAGCTAGCTGCTATACACAACTAGCATGTGTGTACACTTATAGCTCCGCGGCACACACTGATAAACTGCAGCTACCCTCGCACATGTGTGCACTGCGTCGCGTGTGAATATACGTATATACATACGCAGCTGCAGTTATGTACGTATATATATATATAATATACCATAGTATGCAGGGCGCAATTGTCACGATCGCCAGCACGTAGCAGCGTTCGCCGGTGTGCGCAGTGCTGGAGCGACATAAACAATGCTGCTATAGGTATATGATATAATGCAAGCGTATGCACATTTGTGCCACTCGGCCATTTCCGGACTAGGTGTACGACGACTTCTCGTTTTCTTTTTCCTCGCTTCTTTTTTTTTTTCTCTCGTTGTATACATGAGTCTCTCTCTCTCTCTCTTCTCCTGCAATTCATGCAAAGAGAGCGACGTTATACACATGCAGAGGCAATTGCCTCTATAAATAAAGTCTAATAATCTCGTGTGCGACACCGGGAGATCTTGTCCGTATGCGCGATTCGAGCTCTATTAACGTCGACATTTTTTCAACGTGACATTTCTTTCCTCCTCTTTTCATAATAACTACACATATCCCCCAACAATAACGCGCGAATTGTCAACTTTGACCTTCGCAAATTATGCGTCTGCGTTGCATCATCCTTCTCTGTCTGTCTCTCACGGAGCAGCTGCACTCGCTATATACGCATATACGTGTACGTGTGCCCCTCTCTCTCTCTCTCTCTCTCTACTCCCTCTGAATATTCAAAATCATATTATCATTTGTGCGACATTGTATATAGCGGCTTGTCATAGTCGTCACCGCACGTGGAAAAGCCGTGCGCGCCACTGCTTCTCGCGCGTATATACGAATTAATAAATCAGAATTTTTCCAAGTGCGCGTTAAGAGCGTTGAATTTTTAAAGAGCTATACGCGAGAACGGCTAATGCGCGAGCTGCAATTAAGCGTATGCGCGCTTTTTGCGCTCGCGTAAAAGGAGAGAAAAAAAACTAGTTAAAGCTGGACACTTGGGAATCTTGCTGCAATTATCCCGCATTACACATCCGTAGCGAATTGTGTGTACGTTTTCTAGTGCACACTTGCGGGGCTGTATTATACAGCGCATCGCGAGGCGCAGCTGCAGCTGCAGCAGTTGCAGAGGCTCTTCCTTGAAAAGAGACGATCGCGGCGACCTTGAATTCCAGCGTGTGCGGCGGCCACGATCCTTTTTCCTCGACGGCGGCGCACTTTCCGTTTCGAGCGCGCAGAATCTGCAGCTACACATACGTATTACATAGCACACGTATACAGCTACAATACATCTCGCTCTTTTCCTCTCGGTTTCAATGAGGCGCGCGCAAAAAACGACGCGAGCTTTTGTACAAGGCTTCATCCTATCCTTATAGAGCGTATAATACGCGTTTCAAGATGCACATTTTTCCTTTACCGATATGTAAGCGTACGCACACAGAGTCTCGTGATTCATCGGTATGAAAAATTTGCACATTTTTGTTCTCACGCGTGGCAGTGTGTCAACACCGACTACTCGCGCAAATTCGCATTCGGCGTAATCGTAGACGTTATTTCGCTTATCACTCTCCTGCCTGTGGCTGCAATGCACACGGCCGGGCCACGCAGCAGCAAATTCATTGATGAAGGAAGTAAAGTAATCGCGCCGACCGCATCTATAATCGCGTGTGGTGCTCATATCTATCTATCTCTGCCTCGAGTTCGTCATTTTATGATTTTCATTGTATTGCGTCAATTAGACCAACGTATAATGTACAAATAGTACCGATTATATACATATTGCTGTAGTGTTAAGGTCCGCGCGAGCTCAATCTTCGGCGATGATCGGCGGTGTAAGAGAAAAGGGCGAGACTTTTCTTTTCAAGTTGTTCACGGTGGCTCTGCGCGCCCAGAAGCTCTGAATTTATTTATTTCTCCTTCGAACGTACACAAATCACCCCACAAAAATACGTTACAAAATGCCCCCCCGTTTTAATACATATTGTTTACATTATACGCGTTACAATTACGACGCGTAACGTAAACGTTGATATCGAAGGTCGATCCTTTCTCGACGCACACCAGTTTTTTATTCCTCTTTTTTTTTGTTTTAAATCGCAAGGGTCTCGCGTATGTATACGCTGACTTTAATCGCGCTAAATACACATGTATAAGGTATACAATTAAATAAAGAACGAACGAACGAACGAATCGATCTCCCCGACCTCTTGCCTCAATGCGCGCAATTATTTTATAGTATACTATATCAATCGCTGACATATCAATTTCGATGAATGATGATTACAAACGACGCGATGAATTGAACAAAAAAAAAAATCGTTATCGCTTTACTACGCTATATTTACAAGTGTCACTCGCTCAATTGTGCATGATTTTTGTTGCAGATATCATTCATCGGCTCGTTGCTGCGCTGAGTCGACGACGACGACGACAACGACGACGACAATTCCATTGGAGACGAACAGAGAAAACGTCGTAGTGGTCGTACAAAAGCGGATACACATACCATAACGGCTCGTCGTCGCGGGGTAAAGAGCGCAAAAAAAAAGAAGAGAGAAACTATGCTACAGATACACGAGGATCAAGTCGAGCGAGTCAACAAGGACGTCGTCGTAATAGGTGAGTTTCATCATTACATCGATGCAGAATCAGGGCTGCAACCACAAGGTAACAATCGGTAATTCTTATGAGCTTAATTTTCTGCACAGGCAACGGACCCAGCGGCATCTGCTTGTCCTATCTCCTAGCCGGTAACTGGCCGCACTACACGTGCAAGGACCACCCGGGCGACGAGATGTTGACGGCTCGTCTGCGCTACAGCATCGCCGCGAGCGAGCTCGAGCACACCTCGGCGGCCGATCGCTCGAGCAACTGCAGCAGCGTCAGCGAGGAGGACGAGGACGAGGACGAGGAGGACAACGACTCGAACGACTCGTTCTCGTCCCTGCCGCGCGACGACGACTGCGACGACGACCGCCGCGAGGACGAGATCTCGTGTCGCTGCTGCCAACGCCTGCAAAATCGCCACTGTCTGCCCCTGAGCATGTCCAAGCCCGAGCAGCTGGAGCTGTTGGCGAGCGGCCTCGAGGGTCGCAACAGCGGCAAGCCCCTGTCCCTGCTGATGGACAATCTGCAGCATCCGTGCCTGGACGCGGGCCTCGACGTGGCCTCGCTCCTCGACTGGAAGTCCGTCCAGGAGCATCGCGAGCACAGGCCCGTGGATCACGTGGTGCTGGGCAAGGGCCCGCCTGGCGGCATCTGGCACTCGCTCGATCCGAGCGTGCTCACCATCAGCCTGACGCGCTGGATGTCGCTTCCGGGCCTCGATCTTCGGGACTGGCTGGCCAGCCTCGATCAGGACGAGCGCAGGAGGCTGCAGATCGTACCGCCGCCCGCTGACGAACAGAGTCAGAACAAGGACAAGGTGGAGCGGGTGCCCATAGGCGCCGTGGCGGCCTACTATCGCGACTACGTGACGAGGCACGCCCTGGACAAGCACTTCCGCTGCGGCTCGGTCGTCACCTCGGTCAAGCCTCTGCGGGACGGTGGCGCTTGCTGCGACGACCACGACGGCAGCAACGACGAGTACCGATGGCTCGTCGAGGGCTACGAGTACGAAAGCGGCCGACAGTTCAGGTATCGCAGCAAGCGCGTGGTGCTGGCCACCGGCGCCACGGACTCGTACAATCGGCTGGGCTGCAGCGGCGAGGACAGCCACAACTGGGTGGCCCACGACTTCAAGGCGTTCAGAAGGAAATTGGAGCGCGCCTCGCGTGGCGGTGGAAGCTGCCGCCAACAATCGCAGCAACAGCAGCAGCAATCCACTCCGGAGCCGGTGCTGGTGGTCGGCTCGGGTCTCAGCGCCGCCGACGCCATCATGGCCGCGCGAAGCCGGGGCGTACCCGTGGTGCACGTCTTCCGCACGTCGTCGCCGTCGTCCTCATCATCCTCGTCCTCTTCCAAGTCCAAGTCCGCGCGCAGCCTCGACAAAGTGCAGTGGCTGCCCGCCTCGGCCTACCCGGAGTATCACAAGGTCTACGAGATGATGGCCAACAATAGGAAGTATCCACTGTACACGCCGCTGGCCGATCACTGTGTCGTGGACTTCAGTTCGGCCTGCGACAGGCTCGCCCGCACGAAGAAGCGCAAAGTCACGCTGTGCAGTCCTCAGGGTAGGCTGCTCACGCTGAGAGTTTCCTGCGCTGCCGTCCTCATAGGTATGCACCGACTTGAAACTTTTATTAAAGCCATAGGAAAAATTGCTATGTTGTGGCAAAGTTTACAATGTTACGTTATAGATTACTCACATAGTAAATAACTAATCAATTTACTTTGTTACTTTATGTTAATATACTATGTTAGTAAATTACTACTTCATAAGCCATGTCAGTAAATTTAGTACGTTACCCAGTAATTTTTCTTATAGTATTTTACTCGATGTAAAAAGGCATTATTACTGAACTTAATTTTTGTTGCAGGATCGAAACCCGACCTGTCCTACCTGGAGAACAACGGCACGGACCTCGGCAAGTACGTCGACCGGCCGATCGACAGCCACGCCAATCCCATCAACGTCAATGTCTACACGTACGAGGTCGAGCAGGCCGCCCGTCGGGGTCTCTACGCGGTGGGGCCCCTCGTCGGCGACAACTTCGTGCGCTTCATCCTCGGCGGTGCTTACGGCGTCTTCGCCGATATACTCAACAATCAATATTCGTAATATTGCAACGAGAGCGAGTGCGAGAAATTGTAGCGAAGCTTCGACTCGTCATATTTTTTCGAAGATGTTGTATGTACATTTATAGCCTTTCCGCGATCGTGATAGGAAAAATTATATATAAATATATTTATTTATATATTTACATTTGTCTGAACACGCCCACAACATATTTGCTCATGTATAAAGGATGTAGTAAACTTTTTATAAGCGTACTATAGTGCACAAAGATGCCAGCAGCGCATCGTTTGTGCTTGAGCGCGGACACGAGTGTCACTTCTGTAATTGTATACTATCGGTCGAAACTCCATAATGTGCTGCGAGTTCGTCTCTCTGCAACGAGCTTACATTAGCCGCAATAACGTATATTTTTGTATGTGCATTCGATAATATATTATGTCATTTTCACACTGCTATTTCTACATTATATGATACTTGTGACGATGCATCATGTATTTTTGGAGAGAATTAAAAAAATCGATTATAATAGACATCCACAACACAGAAAGCGAAACTCTCGCTCTCCATACTTAAATGTGTAAGCTAGCTTTTAAGGCAAAAAAACGTCATGAAACAAAAGTCTGTGATAAAAATGGTGCGTTTTGTTGTTAATAATTTTTTTTTCGATCACACCGTCAATTATAAAAAAAAAAGATGCGTTACGACGTATAACGTTGCATTGATGCAAACGAGAAAAGAGAAATTTATAAAAGAAAAAAATGTACGTGATTATATTCCTTCAAGTACGTTCATTTTAATAACGAGAAATAAATTTAGTTATATACTATAAGACAAAAAAATTACTCTTGCATTCTAACTTTGAGTCTTCCTTTACCACACAACCAACGAACTTTTGTACAATTATACGAAATCATATGGAAATAAGTATAAATTATTAACGTATAGCTATTTATTTTTATATCTTTCAACACTTTTCTTATTTTACTGTTTACAATTTTTCACATAATCGTCGTGTTCCTTTTCTTACTTTTACCCAGATTATAGTACATCGAATAAGAATATTTTGCTTAGTTCGAGCCTTCTAAAGTAGATAACACCAATATTGGAAATTTTTTACTTTAAAGTAATTAAAACTAATTGGACACATAAGTTTTTAAGTAATATATCAGTCTATTATTGTTACACTTTTGTTTATAAATACTGTATGTCTTTAAAGAATTTTTACCAAACTAGCAGCCATCATCTCGACCGCTAATATTTTTCAAAGTGAGTAATTGTATGAGTAAAATTGAGTAAGTTCTACACCAACAAAATATTAAAAATTTACATGCATGAATTTCAACAACCAAGAATTTTTAACAGTAATTAATCTATGTTACAATTTTAAAAATATATTACAAAAACGATTGACTAAGAAAATAATATATAAAAAATTAAAAATGACATTATAGAACCTGCAAGTATTAAAATGCAGTACACTTTACGATTACTTCTTTTGTAAGTTTCTGCTTTTTTTAATTGCTGACAGCCTTCGTGAACTTGAACTTGAGTTTGTTCTACGTGATAATCTATCCTATCTAAAACTGTTCCTTGGTCCTGAACCATAACTGCTAATTCCTAAAATGAGAATCATTTTGATGGTTTAAAAACTATAAAATATACTAAAACTTATCAAGTTAATGAAAAATATACCTTAAATACATCATGAAGTTCTGATACACTTTTGACAATATGTTCTACTTCTTGTTCCCGTTCGGAAGCCATCTGAACATCTAGTTCAGCATCGTCTAATTGAAGAAGAACATCTTGTTTTTGATGGCTTGGCCATGAGTTAGCGCTTGTATCAGTATCAATTACATCATTGAACATATAATCCGATGATTTGGAAAAAAATTCATCTTCAAAAAATAGTTTATTTCTCTCTTCTCTAGAATTAATTTCTTTAAAAAAAGAAGCAATAAAAGAACATTAATGTTTCTATTCTTACACATAAATTCTACGAGGTAATAAATTAAGTAACATTTAATTTACTTTGTAAATAGTCCTGTTGTGCAGCTCGATATTTGAAACCAAGATTTTGCATGGCTGTAGAAATGGCTCTGACTGCACTCGATGCCAACTGTTTTTCTGCATGTTTATGTTCATGCCTGCCCGCTGATTTTATTGTTTGTACTTGTCTAAATCCACTGGAAAAAGCTCTGCTTATATCTCTAGTCAATTGTTCTATTTGACGCTCTTCCTACAAAGTAATGTACAAGTTTGAATAAAGAGTACAATTTTAACAAATTTTTCAATACATACCTGTGGATTATCATCTAGAGTAGGCCTGTGTAATTGTTTAGATTGTAATTCTATTAAGCTATCTATTTTAGTCTTCAAACGACTTAATATGTACTGAGCCTCTTCCAAGGCATCGATCCAAGGCGGTGGAGCTGTACTGTAACTCATCCCTCTTAGTTCTACTCCATCTATTCCCAGTTCAGGATCAACAAGGGCCATGCGATCCGACATGTTCTACAGATAAAATTCCACACTTACAGTAAGGCTTATAGTTAAGAAATTTTTTTCAAAAATTATTCAAAGTACCTGTTCTGCATAAATATGCTTTGCTGTCAAAGCATTATTCCGCATAATTATGAAAGCCTCCGTTAAGTTTCTCGTCGTCATGTTGTCTATCTATGATTAGGCAAGATAAAATGTAATACCAGCAAAAAACTACGCACGAAAACAGATCGATAAACAACAAGTTGCACGAGTATGACACATTTGTCCGTGCAGTATGGCCGTGAGTCGGTGTTTGTTGTGGAACATAAAACACGCACTCGTTTTCATGGTAGACTCGACATCGGGGATCGCGGCTTCGTCCACGGGAAACGAAATTAATGAGCTTGCTACGACGGCACTTTTTGATTACATGATAATGAGCGCAGTTTGCACTGTGTGCCACACCAAAATCGTTATCATACTGTTGACTTGCTACTGCGGACTATGGATAAGATAACCTAAAGCAGACGGTTTTTCGATACAGCTGACGCTAGTTACTTTGCCGCGAATCCCTAGAAATATTTGTCACTATAACGTAAGCTCGTGTTTATAGAAAAAATAATCAATTTTTTTATTCAAGAATTTTTTATTGAAAATAAATGTTAAACTTCCATTTAAATGACAATTTTTTTTATTAAAAATCCATAGATAATATAATAAATTTTTTGATTGAGCTATAAATGTCACAACTATTCACAAAACAAATAAAACATAATATCATATCAACAACGTTGTGCTCACTTTTCATAAAAAAGGAACGACGAGTTTTTCAGAGAGTGCCATATCCTATCGTTTTATTTTCAATATATTTACAGTCTTATTCAGTGAACTTAAACAACAATTAGTCCTGGGATCTCACTTGTTCTTCATTTCTATAACTAATTTGTCGGTTTTGTACAGATTGCCAATCAACACTTGTCTTTTCAACATTTCCAGAGATTCTAGTCCTTTGTTGTAAAACTCATTGATTTTCGTCGAGTCTTCCAAGGCTTTGTTTTGACGGAATTCGTGCCGTATTTTTCTTAGAGCATACTCTCTGAAAAAAAATAATAAATTGTCTTTATTAACTATTATTCAATAAATTATTTAATTTAATTCCAATACGAATCGATAAAAATATTTCGTAATATTGCTCTATGTCAATAGTTGTCATTTATAAATTGTACATAGAGGTTAGAATGAAACTGGAAACTATGAGTCGTACAATCTACAAAAACACCACTACGAATGTCACATTTCAAGCATACGATACAATGAAAAATCCTCGAAGTTTCACTCACCTGTAATTGTAACTCGCCCACTTTTTGCTTTCTTTCAACAAATCACGATAAAGATTTAGAACAACTTTTCGGCTTGCCATGATGCCGTCAGTTTGTGATACTATAATATGCCGAATGGGAATTGGCCTCGGATATGTAATTCTGGTATTAGTGCAGAGCGCCTCGCAGACTGCAGTGGACGATTGGACATGCTTCACGTAAACAAGTCGAGCTTTCCATGCGTCTAGCAGACGAATTTTTCCATGCTATAAAAATAAGTCTTGGCCCGTTCGGGTGAAGTTTGTTCTGGCAAAAAATTGCTTTGGAATAATTTTAAAACATGCACGTACCTTGGTAAGTAACCAATGATGAATAATGATGGTTAGGTAGCACGCGGACTTTTTGCGTCTTAATGAATAAACCAAAATGTCAATTTTAGGGTACGAGCTCTCTTTGCGGCGAGATGCTGCCGACACAAGTTTACAGGCAGAGCATTGTCAACGGCCCCTGATTTACACAATTCGCAAGGTTGCATTGAGCTTCTTGGTCAAAAGTATCCTACCGACGAGTGGACGAACGTCACTCCAAAAATCATAGAAAAGTTGGATCGAAAGCTCCACATCACAAAAAATCATCCCCTGTCTCATGTAAGACAAATTATTGCCAACCACTTTTACAAATCGTACTCCAACAGAGGCAATAATCCATTGTTCAGTATCTATGATAATTTGAGTCCTGTCGTCACGACTAAACAAAATTTTGATTCACTATTGGTACCATCCGATCATCCTAGTAGGAAGAAAACTGATTGTTATTATGTAAATCGAGATATGTTATTGAGAGCTCATACAACGGCTCATCAAGTAGAACTTATTTCTATGGGCTTGGATAATTTTCTAGTGATTGGAGATGTTTATCGAAGAGATGAAATTGACTCTACCCACTATCCTGTTTTCCATCAAGTAGATGGTGTGAGACTCTGCACTGGAGATGAAGTTTTTCAAAATGTAAAGGGGTCAGGGAAATTGAATATTTTTGAACACAGAGGTGTTGAAGGTACCGATAAGCAAGGTTGCCACACATTGGAGGCAGTGAAAGTAATGGAATATGATTTGAAACAAGTACTAGTTAGCTTAGCTCAAGCTCTTTTTGGTCAAAGTAAGATTTACCTTTATTTGTACTTCACTCTATTCAATAGTTTGTAATAATCAAAAAAATTATTTTACAGGTGTTAAATACAGATGGGTTGATGAATATTTTCCTTTCACTCACCCATCGTGGGAGCTAGAAGTTTTTTTCAATGGCAAATGGATAGAAGTCCTTGGTTGTGGAATTATTCGCCAAGAAATTTTACAAAGAGCTGGAATTTCTGACAGGATTGGATGGGCTTTTGGTTTAGGACTGGAAAGGCTTGCAATGTGTTTATATTCTATCCCAGATATCAGATTGTTTTGGAGTCTTGACAGTGGATTTTTAAATCAATTCATAACTGATGATCCTCATAAAAAGATCACCTACAAGGTATTTACAATTAAGGTTCTATTAACGAAAATTTTGTAAGTAAACTAGTTATTAATGATCTTAAAATTTATGTTATAGCCTGTTAGTATCTATCCACAGTGTAGCAATGATATAAGTTTTTGGCTACCTCAAGATTCTGCATATTGTTCAAATGACTTTTACGATCTTGTCAGAGATATTGGTGGAGATACTGTTGAACAAATTCAACTTGTAGATGAGTTTGTTCATCCAAAGACAAAAAACGTATCTCATTGTTACAGAATAATTTATAGACACATGGAAAGAGTTCTTACACAAGATGAAGTGAATGATATTCACAAAAAAATTGAAAAAGCATCTAAAGATCTATTACATGTTGTTATCAGATGAATATGTCTGAAATTAATTATATTAATGCTGTATATATTGTAAAATAATTAACCAATTGTATTTCAACGAATATAATACATTTTTATTTATTGAAAAATCAATTATAAATGTACAATATAATTAACAAAACTTTAATTGGCAAAAAACTCATCTATTGCCCAACTTTCATAGAAATCCTATTTTTTTCTACTTTTGTTTTGAAAAAAACATTTCTAATTTTCGAGAAAAAAAAGTAAATAAAAAAAACTAAAGCTACATTGATTTTGATGCTACTCTAACAAACTAGAAAACTGTTCTACAAATTTGAGCAATCTCAGAAATATGTGCTATCAGACATAAATCATAATTTCTTTGGTAAATAGATCATGTCTAGTTACAATTTTGTGAAAGTCAAACTTGTCAAAAATTAATCTTTAGATTATCGTTTGAATATTATAAATACATTTTTTTAAGAAATTCTTAGGAATTAACTTATCTTATTAAAATTGCATATGGTTCTTTCTCAGAGAGTTATTATCGTGTGAGATATTAAATTATAAAAAAGTCAGTAAAATAATTATATATGTACTTTTTACACCAGCAAGCTTCATTCAACTTTCATACTACACCATCACAGTCGGTTTTCTCTGACATTTGTACAAGAGATAATTCAATTTTCATAACATTCATCAAACGTAACTATCAATTAATATAATAATAAATAAATATTGTGATTGGTGTTAAAGATGAAACATGAAACTAAAATCTGTTACAATATATTATGTGAATGGAAGCCATTGGAAAAAAGCAAATCAATAAATAAAAATGATCAATCTCTCATTCGTATAAAAACTATACGACAATACTGAAACCATGTGAATTTTTTATCACATACTACTGCAAAATTTGTAACAAATGCGATTTCTAAAGTACCAAGATACTTTGGAGCATTTTACACTCTTCACGTTTTTGATTTCAGACACCGTCGACCTATTTGTGAAAATCCGTGCGCCTCTCATTTATCGATTGGAATTTTTCCAAGCGGTAATAGATTTATGTAAGTTTGGTGTAACTGGGTGGAGAGAATTTTCTTCTCAATAATTGAATTACATAAAGAGGAAGGCAGGACACGACAGTTATCAGCACTACTTTCCACAAGAAACTCGTTGTTTTAATGAACTCAGAATCTGGAAGATGAAATTAAAAATTATTATAAAATGTCTTTAAAATTGTTCACACTATTTTTAATAACACTTACCAAAATAATCTTTCAAGACAACCAGTGACAGCATATACAAGGCCAACGAGAAAAGCTCTGCAATAACCATTAAATGATGCCACGTTCGTATTGTCAATGCAACCATGATGAGCTCGGTCAAGATAAGGGCTGAAAAACTGATGGCCACAATATGTATAAATTCATCCTCAAATAGGATTAAAGCGCCATACATGATAACGCCACCTAAAAATGATAAAAAATGAATATACAAGTAATTTTCAGAATTTTAAAATTATTCTCAAGAGATTTTACCTTGATAGATACTTATTAAAACCCATATAAAGAAGGTTTTATAAGATAACGATCGACCTTTACTAAGATCTTTGTACAACTCTGGGAAAGTTAGCGCAGTTTTTCCAGTCACATCCTTATCCAACACCAATGAGAATACGGGGAACATAGTGTATATGGTAGCGTATCCAACCATCAAAAATCCTTGGTACAGAGGTACCGAAGAGAAGTAAAACACAGCCGAGAAGACGGCCTGCATGGTGGAAATGATGAGACCACGATGAATGACGAACTGACTGAGAGCGGCGGATCGTTTGTAGCTGCGCCTGCCGTGAACCAGCAGCAGTTTCGCCAGATGGCTGAATTGCGTGATGGAGAAGTCGGCAGCCAGGGAGGCTTGTCGGCCCTCGAGGCCCTCGAGGCCGATGCCAGCGTCGGCGGTCTGTATCATGGATACGTCGTTGCCGCCGTCTCCGACCGCTGCGGTTCGCTTACCCGTGTGTCTCTGTATCAGACTGACCACCTCGGCCTTTTGCGTGGGCGAGCAGCGGCAGCACACGACGGCCGGCGAGCCGCAGGCCAGCTCCAGAAACTCATCCTCGTAATATTGTAAGCACACGTCGAGAGAGTCTCCACTGATGACTAAAGCGCAGTCCTGCTTTTTGCGAAAAATATTAAGCTCCAGATGAGCATCCGTGCGGGTGACGACCGGCTTGAAGACGTGCAGGCTCTGGGTGCGCGACACGAGCCTCGACGACTTGGCGATGCACTGGGCCGTCTCCAGCTTGTCGCCCGTGAGCATCCAAATCTTGATCCCAGCGTTTCTCAGCGATTCCAGAGTCGATCGGACCTTGTCTTGCAGCTTGTCCTCGACACCCGTGACACACAACAGTTCCATTTCTCTCTCGAGGCTCTCGATGACCGCCGCCATCCTGGATCCGCGCTCGGTGACGCACAGTCGCGCGGCGTTGTACTTCGACTCGAAATCAAGGTACTGCTCCTCGGTCAAATTTTTCTTGGCGACGACGAGGGTTCTGAAACCTTCCCTCGCCATGTTGCCGCACTCCTCTTCGAGCCAGTCGTTGTACTGCACGATGCCGGACATAACGACGTCGGCTCCTTTCAAGTAGAACGTAATTTGACCCGAAGACTCGTCCTTGATGATGATGCCCATTCGCTTGGTCTCGGGCGTGAAGGGGAACAGTTGCAGAACTGTGTACTTCAGAATCTGTCCGTTCTCCGCTCTCAATTGCATGGAGTTCAAGTCTCGCTTCACCAGTGCCAGGCCCACCTCCTCGGTCCATTTGACGAGAGCCACCTCGTCCGGGCTCGAGGCTTGATATGTGAGGCCTTGCTTCGAGGTATAGTCATTGGCAGGCGTTTCCGATTGGCTTTGTACGGAGCTCGTTTCGACAGTTTCAATACTGGCGGTGTCCAGTTTGTTGTTGGAGCCTTTGTTGAGCTCTTTGTTGTTCACGTCGTCGTACACAGGTGTGACGTTGTGACACAACGCCAGAGCGTGCACCGCCTCGTAAACCCTGGTATTTTCCGATCTTCGCATTTTTCCGGAATTTTGCACAACGACTTTGGGAGATCCGTTATCCGGTGTGTAGAAGGTACGTAGAACCGAGGACACCTCTTCGAATGAATCTTGTCCGTAAGACACGGTGCCCAAGTGTAATTTTTTGAAGATCATGATATTTTGCGTCAGCGTTCCAGTTTTGTCGCTCAACAGATAAGATATTCTTCCAAGCTCTTCCGGTATAGTGGTTGTTCTCACTACGGTACCTTTGATGGCTTGATCTTTTTGAATGCACCAAGAATAGAAAGTCTTACCCATGTCCAAGTTTACTCGAAGACTTATTGGAATAATGTACGAAAACAACAGTATAAAACGGAACATGTACCGATACCAAGGTCCACTAAAACCTTTCAGACACATCATTACTAGAGCCAAGCCTATAACAGCGCAGAAGAGGACCTTCGTTAGTTGATTGATTTCCTGATCAAGCAAGCCAACTTTTGATCTGGGAGCTGAATGATTCATTAAAGATCTGGTTTCCTGACCCGTGTAGACTACAACTCCTAATGCTGAGCCAGATGCAACAGCAGTATTAGCCCACAGTGTATTGTCAACTCCAAGACTCTCTTCGCTGTTTGGTCCATCATGCTGAAATAGTTTTCATCATTACAAATACATATCTGGGAAATTTTTGAATAATTATAAAAAAAAATTAGCGTTGGATACGTACTCTAGTAAAAGTACCAATAAAACTGTGAATGTCTTTTTGAGGTTTTTCAACATAGAGGCTGGCTTTGATATCAAATAATTGATGGTCAGATTCTAGTTTTTGCGTAGTTGGAACTGCCAAACGAAGCTTCCAATCTGTTTCTCCATCTAATTGATCAGTTCTTACGAAGCATGCTCCAGACTTTTCTGTAGTTCTCAATAAGACCAAATCAGCAGGTACTCTTTGTCCTTTTTCAACAATGACCTAATCAAAAATTGAATCAATTAGAATATATGGTATGTAATTTAGAACAATTTTAAAGGTATTATAGTAATTCATACCAAATCTCCAACTTTTAATTTGGAACTAGGTATCAGCTCAGGCGTGACAGATCCTTTCACCAATCTTAAATATTTTTGACCATTTACTTCTTTATCCCTCTTATATCTTCTAAAATCATCAACTGCTTCTCGACAGAGAGTTACTGCCAAAACAAAGCACAGCGGCCCCCAATAAGTGTAAAGATATCCAATTCTTATGTCAGGTATAAACTGTGAGATGGCCATAAGAAGAAAATAGAGATTCAAAAAGAATTTGAATTGTTGAAAGAGAACCTGAAACAAAAGTATAAATATTTATTACAGTGAAATGTCCAACATTCATATATAATTAAAAACTCTCTATTTATAGTCCAAAATAATCTCTAATATTAATGTTTCGCAAACTTGAAAGTATAGGCTTACAAAGACAGATTATTTTGAACTGCAAATAAACAGACTAATATTATTAATAGTAAGTGCTTGTACCATCGGTAAAAAGGTGATGATGCTGTACTTTTGGTTCCGAATCACATTAGTTGGAAATTTCTCATGTAATGGCTGTCCAATGGCTATTGTTCTGGCCCTGAGTTCTTTTTCTTTGCAGCATTTTCGCCACATCCATGTGAAACACCTGAAAAGTACAATTAGCATTGAAAATATACAAAATAAAGCAAAACATGTATAAACATTGATAGTAAAAAAAGCCAAAAAAATATAGAATGTAAGTTATTACAACTAAAGATAATTATTGACAAAACAAGCATGATTGATCTTATCATCAATTCATTTAAAAATGATAAACAAAACAAGTGAAAACTAAGTATCAGTAATAACTATAAAGCTAAGCTCAGAACATGCTCTCAGCAGTTGATTTTTACAGATATTTTTACTGGTAATTTCATATATTACATTAGACGACCAGTAAAAGTACCAGATTAAATCATCAAATGAACACAGATGAGATAAATTAAGAGAATTTCAATTATCACAGTCTAAATGAGTGAATCCCTTACGCACCAACTAAAACAAACTAACGATGAAAAGAATGATCGGACGGCTCAAATAAATAATAAACAGGCAGCTAAACACAGTGCTAAATAAAAAGATCTGAGAGCTTTTTTACAAAAGTAGAAATGAGTAGTGTTTAATATAAAAGAAGAATTACAAAAATCCTCGAGGAAAGCGACCAATTGTCGTGCAAAAACGTCGAAGTCGATCCATGATAGGTAATTTATCACTCATTGATGGACAAAGTAGAGAAAGAGTGTGACGCTCTTACAATAATATACTTTTATTATACTGGTGCCGTAGTGTGCCAGTACACCAGGTAGCAATCAGAGAAATCTCTTTCTAACAATCATCAAAATTGTCGCCTTGGGTGCTGCTTATAATACGGCCAGAGAGAGAGAGAGACAGAGAGAGAAGATGACATTATTTGTATATGTGTATACTCTGCATGTTTATTGTTACGGATTTAAGAATCGCGTGCGCGGAAACCCATACATACATCCAACAATCTCACGCACACTCACTCGCCAAGTATATGTAACGTTAGTTATAGTCATAGTTGGGAAAATCATTGGCGTGAATACGTAAACTGCGTACTTAGACGAGGTATAGCCGTAAAATATTCTCGCTTAAAAAAATCGATCGCTATTCACGAAGTGTAAAAAAAACAAACAAGATGACTATAAGACTGCTGTGATTACAAGCAAAATGCTTATTATTATATGACTATAGTCGCACTCGCACTCGCACGCATACACATACGCGTTGAACATTTAATTGAAAAAACTGCATTATGTATATAGTAAAGCCACACACGCAAACGCAATAATATCCGTGCGGCGGTCGTGCAGTTTTTGCCATAATAAGACGTCGTCGATCGCGCAGTCAAGCATTAACTTTACCTAGTGAAAGGGCTGCTCTTTTTCGGTTTGCTAATCAGAGGAATGTCCTCCCTGGGTAAGCGTATGGTGGTCGAGTTGGCGCTCTGCATCGACGACGGCTCGTCGCTGCCGCTGTTGATGACCAATCGTCGCTGATGAAGCTGGCTGGGATTCTCCATCATCTCGAAGCTACATCCAGCGGCTTCCTCGGATACGCCGAGGCTTTGCGCCCTAATCGTCCTATTATCGCTGCCGATGACTAATTATAAAATGCGACAACACACTGCAGTGCACCCACGCATGCAGTATATTGGAAGCCTATAGTAGTGGAGTCCGAGTAACCTGCATACACACACACACACACACACACACATACACCATCCACCCACGCAACACTCGGGGCTAATGTATCGTACCGAACGAGTTTTCGAGAATAATTTTTTACTGCACACGACGCACGATCTTCGTGGCCATGTACAACACCTAAAAAAGATAACTGGCACTCGACGACTCCACCGCGTATCTCCTCGCGCAGTGGTACACAACTCTATGTGCGCGAGTATAATGAGTAATACGACAAAAAAAGTGAGCGCAAATACATGCAAGCACTGCTGCTGGTTGCAGAGGCAGCAGCAGCAGCAACGAGAGCGAAAGAGAAGGAAGACATATTATTAGATATACGCCAGCCGCATGACGTCATCGATATAAACACAGAAATGTCAGTGTGTGACAGTATAGTGTACATAAGGCTTGTGTGGTGGTATGTGCGCCTGCACGAGAGGCAGTAGCTTCGACTGCGATATGCGACGGTCGACAACATCGCTGCGCGCTGCAGCCGACAAAACAGATGATCCGTAGCAGCAGCAGCAGTCAGCACACACAACAATAACAAATCGACCGAGAATGCCTCGGAATTTTTTCTCTCTCTCTCTCTGCCTGTAGGTCAAATTTTGAGCTTCGATTGGAATTTTAGAAAAACAGATGCTCGTTAGAAAAGACACGAAGGGCAAATATCTCGGGCACGATATATGCGATAAGAGTATCGTCCATGTATAACCTAAAACATGGCTCGCCGACGACGATGCGGTCGTAGCATAAAAAAACGTCGATGTTTCGACTCTACCGCCGGTATACGAGCATTGACGAGGTCAATGTCGAAAACGAGCCTCTCGCCTCGTTTGACAATAGCAAATTGCTTACCCGCAAAGCGCGTGTTTGAGCAGGGCCGAGCACTTGGACAGCCGCCTGCGCTGCTTGAGTCGATTGTTGCTGACGATCCTGTAGCGGTCGTCGCTGGGCTGGAGCAGATAGTCCGTCTCCTCGTCCATCTCGAAGTCCTGATGATCGTCGCTGCTCTGACGCCGCTGATGGAAGTCGCTGTTGGTGGAGGCCAAGCCAGTCGGCGTCAGGTCCTCTAACCTCATCGAGGTGCTCCTCATGGTTTTGCTACTACCGTCTAACACTTTTCACTGGAATTCGGTGGCCAGCTCGCGGCCGGATAATTTTCTCCGGGCCTCGAGGTGACTATTGCTGCTCTCGTTATCGCTGAAAAACTACCTGCGCTTACACTACTCGTGGCACACGTGGCCCAACTCGACATTATTTCTTTTCTTTTTCGGTCTGTATCTAATCACCGCGCGCGAAGCGAGTCGGCACCGACTGCGACTGAGAGTTAGATGTACGAGAAAACTGCGGGAGTGATGTATTTTTGCGCGGAGGGTGCATGTGTATAATGTAGTACGAGCAGCGGCAGTCACGAAGGATGAGCGCGCAACAGCCTATACAGCCTCATACAGCAGGACTGCAACTCAAACTGACAGTTGGTAAACTTTCCGTGGCAGCTGATTGTTTATCGTATATATGCGGGACGCTCTTATCGCCTATGCTTATCTCAATAATTAAAAAATAAATAAAATAGGTATAGTAGATAAAAAAAAATAAGAGAAGAGAAAAATCGTGGAGTTTCGAATATAGAAAATGCGATGTACAATTGCGAGATCTCGTCAATTTTTTATTCGTGCGTCGGCGACAATTGTGCCTTGGGCACGAGCAGTATGTCGTAGTGCGACGCGACGAAGATGAAACGCTGCAGCTGTCGCTTGTCCGCGGTGTCGACGAGCTCGTACAGCCTCTCGAAGGTACGGTCGATCGGCGCCTTGTTCTCGATCATCGACAGATTCAGCACGAAGCGACGACACTGGCCCAGCAGCTCGAGCAGGCCCAGCAGCTGTCGAACCCTTTCCGGTTGTTCCTTATCGTCATCGTTTTTTTCTCCGATCATGTCGAGGGTGCAGTCGAACAGCTCCTCGAGGAACTCGGTGGGCACCTCGCCACCGAAGAACTTATCCTTGAGCCGGTCCTGGAAGCGCACCAGGTAGGCGAGCTTCTTGCGGGGCTCGCGCAGGCGATGCCAATACTTGACGAACTCTTGGCTGGTCTTGGGCTCGATCTTCGGGTCTAGAGGGTCGATTTCCTCCTCGCCCTCCTTCGGTCTCATCTCGGCCATGCGTGCCTCGACGTCGCCGCCCGCTTTTTCATCGCTGTCTACGGCGACGGCGCACTGATTCCACGAGCCCTGGGCTCGCTTCTTCGTGTCGTTCTTGTCGAGGGGCCTCAGATGGGCCGCTTGCACCTGTGCACGATCCCTCGATTATTTGAATTATTTTAACTCGTAAAGTCGAGGCTCTGTATACATACTACTCACCATGTGACGAAAGTCGTCGTAAGTCGGCACCCTCTGCTCGATCGCCCTGATCTTGGCGTCGTTCTGCAGCTTGTAAAGCTCGTCGGCCTTGAGGGCCACGTCGAGCTCGGCCTCGAGCGCTCGAAAATCTATCGGCTCCTTTAAAATGCTCATTTTTTATCTTATTGTACGTAGAAAGCAGCGGCGGCAGCAGAAGCGAGCATAGGAGCCACCTCGCTGCACAGCAGTTGCGGCTGAGAATAAACAACGCCTCGGTTGCCATGACACTATATTTTACATATTACGACGAATGAGATACCGCGTCCTGCGCAGCGTCTAAGCTTTCGCGTCCTTTATCTGCTGTTGCTGTTGCTGCTTCTTTTTCTCGGCCAATTCCTTTTCCGCCTGCAGCTTGTCCTTCCGCCTCTTGACCATTTTCTCGTGCACCCTCTTCATCTCGAGTATCTCCTTCATCTCCTCCTTGTCCTCCTCCTACGTACGCGCGCGTTGATTCATTAGAATTTTAATTATTTATGGAGAAATATTGAATTACTCACGCTCTGGCTCAATCTCAGCACGAGAGCTTTGCGCCCGTCGGACATGGGCTGGGAGTAATCGTTGAGCTTTTTCAGACGCTCGGCCGGCGCCACGCCTCGCTCGACCACGAGAACGATTCGCGCCCACTATACAACGATACGCAACTTTTGTAATTTCTATACGAACGATTTTTAAAATTATATAAGTCAATCGATCGACGAGTTCTCGTACCTGCCTCTGCCACTCGTTGCGGGTCTCGGCGATCTTCTGATAAGTGTTGCCCATCATGGCGATCAACATGTTGACCAGCAGTATGGCCACGATCGCCATGTAAACGACGAACAGCAACTTACATAAAAAAAAGAAAGAAAACAAAACAAATATAGGCACACGAGTGCTACGCGTTTGACGTAATAATTAGTGCACATCATCGCCGCGCTCGTCTCGTCGAGTACTCTCGAGCAAATATCAATATTACATATGTTACAAGCGAATAAATGTACCTTGGCCTCTATCTCGTGCTCGGTGTTCTCGAAGGCGTCGTAATAGTCGCCGAAATTCGTCATGCTCATCAGAAACATGGCCATTATCGACTCCATCGCCGAGGGCATGGGATTGGCTTTGGTGTCGTCGACGCCCTCGGGCGTCACGGGATTGTCGAACGACAGAAAGATGATGTAGTACGCTGCACTCGAACACACGTGTATTGCACGTTTATAATTAAATCATCGTAGCGTAGGCGTTTCTACGAGCGTTAATGAACGTATATACCCAAAATACACTCTCGAGAGGTGCAAATATAACACGAGTGCCGCCGCGCGCGTTACGTCAATTTCGAGCTTATGTATATAGCGGCCTCGATACATGCACTTCTTTTTAGATGTAAACAAGCCTGTGCACAAGACGTACAAAGATCCGTGTCAATGTCAAGTGCAGCATCGCATGATTTATCGCTTTTGCGTTATTACAATATATATATACCTTGCGAGAAGCCCATCACGAAGACGAGATAGATGGAGACGAAGCGCAGCAGATCGCCCATGATCATGCGATAGATCATCACGACGAAGGGCCCGACGCTCTTGAAGCCCCGGCAGAAGAAGAGGAAGTAGGGCGCCGTGGTGAGCATCACCACGACGGCGAGCTTGTCCTCGAGCTCGTCGGCGCAGTCGAAGCGCAGCAAGGGGAAGCTCAGCAGGATCGAGCACGAGATGAGAAACATGACGCGGGAAGGGGCGGTCATGAGATTCTCCACGAACATGCTGAGGCCGAGGAAGCGGGCCTCGCGCAGAGCCGCCAGGATGTAGAGTATGGCGCCGATCTCGGTCGCGATCTCGGCGATTATGCGCACCTTGGCGATGGGCTCGCTCATGTTCATCAGTCGGCACTCGCCGTTCGTCAACCGGTCCCACCTTTAATTATAAGTAAAAATACGATCGTGAGAGAGAGAGAGAGAGATAAAAAAAAATCGTCTCGTTTAATATCCGCAGCTCTTACCAATCGTCTTTATCGTCTTGTTGTTTCGCTCGCTTCCATATCAGCGAGCCGTTCGAATCTAAACTACTTAAGCTCGAATCGTCGTAAAAATCACGAGTAGAATTGCTCGCGGCGGCTGCTGCGTCGTTAAACATCAGCTCCGTACCGCTCATTGCCGTCATGGTTGAATTTTGCCTCAGCCAAAGGTCCTTGATGGCCTCGCTCAAGTTGGCCGCGACCAGCGACGAGATCCGCTCGAGCAACATCGAGTCGTTGTCGCTACTACCACCACCACCACTGGCGTTGATCGCTTCCAGATCCGACAATTTCAGACTCGAGGCCAATTGATCGGCGAGATTTTTAACCAGCAGAGACGACAGAGTGACTTCGAGCGGCTGATCATCCATGGCCGGCTCGGTCGACGAGGATGTTGTGGTGTCGTTGCCGGACGTCTGTTGGGGCTCCTCGTCGGGGCCCGGTCGCAGAACGAAGCTCACCGCCGAGAGCAAGAAGTAGCAGCAGAACAGGTAGAATTGCCGATAGAATCGCGACTTGACGAAGGTGTTCCATTTGGCGTTGAGCAGATCGATCAGTACGCCGTCCATCAACTCCAAGTGCTCGTCTTTGTCCTTGAACGAATTACAGAAAATAACCTCTCGATACACAGTCGAATTATATTTACGAGACTCACTCCGAAAACGACCAGATTGAGCGCCGAGTTCTTGACGATCTGGCCGGTATCGACGTCGATCGTGTCGATCTGCGACAGCGGATAGGCCGCGCAGGTGATGCTGCCGATCTGCCAGTAGATCTCGCGCTCGATGTTGAGTATGTGAAAGAACATCTCGATGCGGGCGAGCTTGGCGGCGAGCTTGAGCGGCGTCAGGTGCAGCACGTTGGCCACCGACAGCGACGAGCCCACCTCGTACGCCATGTCGAACGTCGACTATAAATCATTAAATCGAAATCGTCGTTGTACAAAAGGGCGATTAACATTTTTATTGTTACGATCTAGGTATATTGTTTTTGCGCAATGACCTCTAATTTGCAAAGTAATCGATCGCGAGCATTACAAGTGCTTAATGGAATCGCTTGCCGCGCGCGTTTGTTTTTCCAGATACGGCAGCAGCCTACCTACGTACATTATTGCGGCTCAAGAGTCGGTGTCTGCGATCGCGCGCATTCGGATTTCGATCGCCGCAGTGCAGAACCTTGGACGCGTGCAATATTATAAATTTCATTTCGTATCTATCCTCTATACACCATGTGCGTCACTCACGCATAAAGAGACGAGAGCCGATGCCTGGCTCGAATATATCCTCTGCGTATATTAAACGTCGCGAGAGAAAAGTGAAAATGAAAGTACATACACGAAAGTTGTAAGCCATGCGCTATATAATACGCGATAAAGTGTCTATATGAGCGATTCTGTAAAATATTCTTAAGAAAACGAGGCTAAAATGACGATTGATAATTTTTTTGCTTTCGACCGAGGTCTCAGAAACTTGGGAAATTTTAGGAACTGTAAAAAAAAAGTTCACTATGGTTCCAAAAAAGCATTGTGAAATTGATATACACTTAGGGATTCAACATTTTATTAGCAACTTGCTTCGTTTTATTGCAAAAATTTATTATTACATAGTATTAAATAACATTTGCGAAAATCATGATATTGTTTAAATTAATCTACCGAAGCGAGCATGTTAATCTTTAAACGTTCAATAAATTGTAATGCATGAATGTTTTTAATGTGATCTTCAATACTTCTTTTTTGTCTAAATATCTTTCTGCATATAACACATGTGTAAATGATATCATTATGCACCGAATCAATGTGACTTTTGAGATAGGCCTTAGTTGAGTATTTCTTTCCGCATATATCACATGCGTGTTTGATTTTAGAATGCACCGCATCAATGTGGACTTTGAGTTTAAATTTCAGTGCGAATGTCTTTCCGCATATACCACATGCATGTGTGATACCCTTGTGCACCGAATCATTATGAATTTTTAGATACCTCTTCCATGAAAATTTCTTTCCGCATAAATGGCACACATATGTGACACCATTATGTGCCACATCGGTGTGTCTCTTGAGATTGCTCTTCAGTGTGTATGTCTTTCCACAGATAACACATGAGTGGGTAATACAATTATGTATTGAATTGACATGTCTATTCAGACTATCCTTACTTGACAATTTCTTATAGCATAATTCACATTTGTGTATTGAGTCATTTTGCGTCACACCGATGTATGTTTCGAGATTATGTTCGCTGTTCAACTTTTTTGTGATTCTCCTTTTTTTATTTTTTTCAACAATTTCACAGTCGAAATTCAAAATTGATTCTTCTGCAGCGTCACGAAAAAATTCCTGTTGCACTTCACCCGCAGTTTCGACTTGAATTATATTTAGAGGTTTACCACCATCACTATCTTTTACATTCCACAAGTGACTTTGAGAATCATAGTCAATTTTCTTAACGGTAAATAAATCCCTTTTGGGCTTGACGTCTTCGCATTCAAAAATTATTTTGAAATCGTCATTGGGTTTACAGTCGAAATTCGAATTCAATTCTTCTGCAGTATCGCCGAAAATTTCTTTTTCTCCTGCAGTTTCTATTTCAATCATATTTTGAGTCTCAATACAATCGCTATTTATTGAATTTTGCAAGTAATTTGAATAGTAATCGTCAGTTTTTTTAACTGTCAATAAATTAACGTTGGGTTTCACGTCTTCACACTCAACAACTGTTTCCACTTCGTTATATTCACTTTCTTGATCATATTCACATTGCTGAAGCATCTGTCGAAAAATTCAATATGAGTTACATGTAATTACATTACAATTTACGTATAATTATCAATACTTACTGAATCTTCTCGTGGAAATGGTAAGAGTTGAAAGTTTTCAAGATCAGGATTCTCGTCAATCATTCCGTACTCATTTTGAATGAGCGATGCAACACCAGGCTCCTCTTTCACACTGAAATAACCTCGATCGAATCAAGTATTTTGTTGCAATAATTTTACGATTTCGTTCTCTTAAAATGACAATTACCTGATGGCACGATTTTTCATATTATTAGTGGATTCCATCCTTCTCACTTTGGATTTCGTCAAACAATAACTTTTCTGAGATGATACACCACATAAAACACCGAAGCACTGCGATAAAGAGCGCTGTGCCGTGCCTCTATGTTTTGAAAAACTGTGTCGATGCGTCAAGAGCACTATAGAACTTATGAGCGATCAGTACCGCGTAACCCTTCGTGTAGCGTAGCAAAACAAAACACAGAGTAACGCACGGAGGTCGCGTGAGCCACTAACGGACGACAGAAGAAATAAACAAAAGAACGAGCAGTAGCTTTTTGCTCTTCGCCAATCTTTGTGTGGCTCAAATTCAATCTACGAATCACAAGTCGTGAAATGTCACGATCTTGTCACTCATGCCTAGCATTCATGTCTGATGAATAGTAAATAACAAGCGGCGACGCGAGTTTCGAATTCAACCGCTAGATGTCATAATCGAATCCGAACGTGAAAAAATAAAGTCTGGCTTTATATCCCACTGAAATTTAACAACTGGCATCGCTTTCACGGCCTATTTGGCTATGATCAAAGTGTAGTATCTGTTCTTATTAGATTGAAATCTAATAGGAGGTCTATACGACCTCTTGAATTTCAAACTGATTTTTGGAACTCGGTAGAGTGACTGGGGCTTGCTCCGGCTCTACCATGGGTCTTGTCTGCATTGCATTACCGCAGATAGAGGCCTGATAACCTAATCAACATTAAAAACTGTGTACAGTCAATGACCTACGGCAATGCCGAGCTGTTGCGAGGTAAATCATTTACATTAAGTGATTTTTAGTCAATGATGCCAACAGTGTCGATGTCGCGCGGAGGCTCAAAGTGTTCATGTTTCCTCCGGAATGATAGGAATTTCTGCTACTTCAGCTGGGAATTTGTTCGCCCTGTAAGATTCAACTCGAAATAAAAAATGATAATAATTAAAAGTGTGAGAATAAACAGTTTTCAAGAGAAATTTACGTTTGGAAAAATTATTTTTTTAACTTTATAATCATTTATCTAAAAAAAAATCAACTTCAGTCATATAATGCAAAGAATAAAAAAGTTTTAGATATTTGTCAAAGAATACGTGTGGCTCTTTTTATAAATTTTTGAAGACTTTTTAAAAATGAGAATAGCCATTCAGGCGCGGTAAATAAAGGGTCGAAACTACGTTCTTTTAGAGACTAAACACTTGAGTAAAAATATATTTTAGCAGGTCTTTGAAAATTAGAGATATACTTAAGATATCGAATTATTATTTTAGTAAAAGAAAACAAATAAAATGTTTAAAAATGTTAGATTCGGCCGGTAGAGGACTCGTAGCTCACGTGCACTGAGTGAATCTGTTTTTATTTCCAGACCATCTGAAGAGGAAGTGAGTTAAACTGTTTGTAGGCTTAAACACACAATAGGCTCTAATATCACGTCGAAGTGTAAATTAGCTTAGTTTTAATTGATTCACGAGTTATGCATGATTAAAGCATAGCGTTTTTCTCGTTCATCGCCATCTCATACCTGGATAATTTATTTCTGTCATCGCAACGCAGGTAGCATCCCCTAGTGAAAGTTTATTCGCCGATTGACTGCATGTAAAAAAAAAACAACTGCTTTCGGTTTTTTTTATAAAAATTGACCTGGTAAGATGCGGGCGAGCGTTCGGTAAAAACGAAAAAAATTCTGAACTCAAAAATAACGAAGTAAATAATGGTTTTAATATGATAGAAACCTGCGCGATAGTCTAAGGATTGCAAAATTTCAAGCTGATCGGACAAATAGTTTTTGAGATCATAAGGGACAAACAGACACCAACTTCGCTTCATATAATATATGCTGTTAAGGAAAACTAGCACGTTTACATTTAAAAATGTACAGAAACGTGCTACTCTTCCTTTACAGCGTCGATGTATAGATTTTCCATCGTAGATTTATCCATTTATAAGTGAATGAAAAAGTCAGCAATTGCAAAATAATTATAAGATGTGCAAAGTGAACAGCAAAATAGTTAGCTTCTGAGATACGATGATCAATCAAGTGACAAACATTTTAATCGCCTGGCAGTTTAAAGATTTCTTTACAGAATCGCTCATATACTCCCGTGCGCGCGCGAAAGAACAGTTAGAGTCTCGCGCGCGCGGGGCTATATAAGGGTTTTGTGTAATATGATATATGGGTAACTTGCGAGCTTTTGATAAATGACAAGCATGTGGAGAACGGTGTTGCCGTTCGTGTCCTGCTTATCGGGATCCGCGCCTCTGGCCAGTATGAGACGGTAGCATTCCTCCTGGCCCAGGCAGGCGGCGAAGCTTAACGGATATTCACCCCAGTACACGTAACTGCAACAATACAACGAGAGAGTTCAGAGACAGACGTCGATTAATCTCTCTCTCTGTATCTCGTGTATCGTTCCATTTCATATCTATCGTCTAACTCTCTCTCACCCGTCGTAATTGGTCTCGGGCTGCACGCAGACCCACTCGTGCTCGACGCTGTCGTTGCGCGACGCCTTCTGGTCCTCGGGGCACATGAAGTTGCCGAAGCATCGCTCGTTCACGTCGGCTCCGCTGTCGAGGAGGAACTTGACCATGGACGGGTCCTCGTTGACGATGGCGATGTGCAGCGGATTCTCGCCGTAGTACTCGTCGTCCATGTAGATGTCGTTGATGAGCTTGGGATAGAAGCGCAGCAGGCGCTTGGCCAGGTCCGCGTGGATGGCGGTGGCGTGCAGCATGCACAGGTGGAGGATCGTCTCGCCCACGGCGCCGCGCTGATTCAGGCGCCAGCATACCAGACGGTACTTGCTCTTGTCTGAGGTATAATTTACTCGTCGGTTGTTGTATATTTTGATAACGTATATTTTTGGAAAAATTATATTTGTTGCAATTTTACTTCTGACAGCTGCTCTGACACGGCTGCTCGTGGATTTTAAAAATGAATTATATTGTTTCAGAAAAATGTAAAAATTAATGTCCCTGAATTTGCCTTATATTTTAACAAAATCTATCGTGATCAAAGTGTAATTGACAGATGGGGTGTTATAAATTCGCAAACGGTAAAACAATATCCGACTATATCTAATTCTTATGAGGTCGAATCACGTACCAATCGTATTCTCGTCGGGCTCAGGCTGTCCCTCCAAATCTTTGTCAATATCGTACTCCTCGGGCTTTTCCATATTTCTCAGCTCAGGCAGCTAGAAAAACAACAATAAATAATATCCCTAATTTCAAAGTCCTCTTAGCTTTGTAGCGCTCGCAACTCTGTAATCATTTTTCGCAAAACTAATTTGTCTTTATTCACGTGTGCGGGTGCAATTAATATTACCAGCTTGTGTCTAGCTCTCTCTTTGTTTCTCATTAGCACGATTTTGCATATGGGTATCCACTTTCCTTTTCCTTTATTGTACAGGTAAGGCTCGACTTTCGTCCTGATGGCGTGATCCAGCTCGGCGTATTGTTTCGTTTGCGAGGCACGTTTCATCATGTCGACCAGCAGTCCACCCCCTACAAATAGAATCGACGAAATAATGTGGCGAATTAACGAGAAAGACACAAGTGTCTATACCTTTTAAATCGACGAGTTTGTACAATAAAATCGACGAGGCATCCGTTTGCTTCTTCACGCCACTTGTCACGTTACTCTCTGTATTGCCCATTGTCTCGCCCGCGCTCTATATATCGAGTCAATGAATTGGTACTTGTGTCAAAATGAAAGGAGAGAAACGATAATTAAATGTGTGTCACTATGAAACACGTTTACGCGCGTAGATACACCGTCGCAGCTGACTTGGGCTCTGGCTTTTACGGAATTACGACCGCAGTCGCGTTGCCATGACATAATGCCCCGAACGATATCGATCAAATAGTATACTTGGATGAAAAATCATAATTTCATCTTTCTAATTACATTTGTTATTTTTTATTTCGATGATACTTAGATAAGATAATAAATGTTATCCATTGATTCACTCATTAACTAGTTATGAGTTATTTTTTACAAAAACGGAGACATTAATTTCCAATAAAGGTCCGGGTGCAGGTGACATTTGAGTATTCTTGCGAGATCCAATGGGCGAGTTTAAAGATTTACGTTTTTTGGGTCGCTGAAACCGAATTTTAATGTCACCCAGGTCGAGTTTAGGTCAATTTTTTGTTATTAAAAAATTAATTTGAAAAAAACAATTTCTAAAAATTGGTCATCGTTCAATGCATGCTCTTTTTAAAGATGAATATTAAAAAACGAAAAGAACGCAACTTAACAACATTTCTAATTCGGGTTCAGCGATTGAAAAACGTATAAATCCATCAACTCGCCGACATGATCTCGTAAGAATATTCAAATGTCACGAGCTTTTTTATCTTTTAACCTCTCTAACTTGGCTCGTTTTTGTGCGAACAAGCTCATCGATATCTCATTCTAAAGGTAATAACCTAAACAATGGTGTAGTATAGTTTTTATACCAATGAAATTGTTTTTAATGCAGTTTGTAGCCGTTTATAATACGTAATTTTATGGCTGCGACGTACTTTTCATTTGTTTGTACGCATTTTTCGCTTAGATAAATTATTGAAAAAACTTGGCAACTCAGTACACTTGAAAGTACGTCAAAAAACAAAAATTTTGAGATGTTTTAGAGGTAAGTGGCCGAATAGATGCCAAGTTGTTGAAATGTAGCGCTATTACGCAAAACATAATCATAAGGCGCCGTGGCTTAGTTGGTTAAAGCGCCTGTCTAGTAAACAGGAGATCGGGAGTTCGAATCTCCCCGGAGCCTTGAAATGTAATGTGTCTAGTGGGTAAGACACTTTTTTTTCTTTCATGACACGCATCTATTTTTTCGGCTCTACTTTTCGTACATTTTATAGTTGTACGCTTACCAAAAAAGTACAAACAGTTAGATTTAAACTTTTATTTTTTTAAAATAGTCTATAACGGAGTTTTTATACTCTTATAAAAGTATAAGTATGCACTGAGAAAAAGATTTGGTTAAGTCAATAAATATATTTTATTGAAAAAAATTTAATTTATATAACAAAATTGTATTTGAACCAATTGATTATTTCCTATAAATTATATATAAGAATACTATATATAAGAAATAATTATTTATGTCAATTGAATCATTTAATTTTTGGATTGAACAGTATATTTATCTATCACGAATAAATATTAGGTTGTTTTGAAAAACTCGTTCAATTGACTCAATAATATCAATTTCTTTATTCACGCATATGAATTTGAATAAAATATTTATTTAAAACAAATATAAAGGCTTTACTTGATCATGTGCCGTCTAAAAAATTACCTTAAAAAGAATAAAATTTTAGTCCGGTCAGTCATCTCGCGATTCCAGTCTTGGTTTTTTTTATTAAAGTAAAAAAAATCGTTCTGGTGCTAGAACTAAAGGTTCAAGTAAAAATGGAAATTATTAAAAACGTCCAGAGAAATAAAATTTTGAACGAAATGAACCATGAATAGGCACGCGAAGCAAAAAACAAGCATAGATAAAAAAGTATGCATTACAAAAAATAAAAAAGTAATGAAAAGTTATCATTTTCTAGGCTCATAATCGTCATAATTGTTCCGTTACTTGACAAATAGAAGTAGATAGTGAAAAACCCCTTAAAGGAAATTGGGCACAAGTGGCGTTTGCTCGTAATCATCATGAAACAACCCTTCAGAATAGTTGCTGAGATTCCGCTTGCAACGGATTGGAAAGGAAACGCAGACTTAAACATCGTTTCTTTTTTATCAAAAACCATTAAACGATTCTCGCAAAGATGTCACCTGCTACAAGTTCGAAGAGAAAATTAGACGAATTGGGACACGACGTGAATTACAAATGACAATACACAAAAGTCTCAAAGATTTCGCATGCGACAAGTGCAAGAAGACATTTGGAACGACTTTCGTCATCCAAACGGCTTCTCACAACTGTTGCATGCGGAATCTCTGCGACTCTTATGTAAAATCATTTATAACTCAAGCCGAGTCCCAAATCGCCTAATCCTCTCCTCGTACTTGCAACATGTGAAGTCTCCTCGAAAATCGTCAACTGGTTTTAGATTAAAAAACAAAACGATGTTCACGTCTACATTGCCTTTCCAATCCGTCGCAAGCAAAATCTCAGCGACTACTCTGGCGGACTAGATCATAATGAGTCTAAGCAAACGCCACTTGTGCCCAAGTTCCCTATAGATACCACAGCCTGGTGCCGGGATACTCCGAGCTGTCTTATCTTTAACACGTGGCCTTATGGGAGAAAGTCTTTTCCTGGCTGACGCTAACCAGTGGGTCGCTCTCGACTTTATCTTTTCGCGAGCATTCAGTCCTACCCCTCGAACGGCAATTTCAGTCCGGTCACTCGGCGCGTCGTTCTAGTACGAAGAGTCATCTAGCGATTTTAGTCTTGGTTTTTTTTTCTTTAAGGAATAAGTTCTACTGATTTATCTAAACAGTCAATTTATTCCTTAAAGAAAAAAAAACAATTTAATTTTCCCGAAATTTTTTTAATCCGAAATTTTGTTTTTCCGAATTTTTCATATNCTGAACCGTCCGCCAAATTCAGATTGGCGCCACTTTTCAGTAGTGATTCGGTCACCTAATCGTGTCCGTTTCATAGAGCCAAGTTTAGCTTCGAATTCGCAAAATTCGGATCGACACCACTTTTCAGTAGTGATTAAATCGCCTAATCGTGTCCGCCCTATATCAGTCAAGTTTAGCGGCGAATTGCCTTGCCGAATGTGACAATCGGGATCTTGCCCTAATTCAACTATAAGCTTACAGCTAAGTCTGCGAGTGCGAGAGAGAAACACGCACGAACACGCACAGCGCGAGCCATAATCACATTTTGGAATGATAAAGATTAGGATTTATGAATATTCGGAATGTTTGAAAATCGGAATATTGAAAACGGAATATGAAAAATTCGGAAAAACAAAATTTCGGATTAAAAAAATTTCGGGAAAATTAAATTGTTTTTTTTTCTTTAAGGAATAAATTGACTGTTTAGATAAATCAGTAGAACTTATTCCTTAAAGAAAAAAAAACCAAGACTAAAATCGCTAGATGACTCTTCGTACTAGAACGACGCGCCGAGTGACCGGACTGAAATTGCCGTTCGAGGGGTAGGACTGAATGCTCGCGAAAAGATAAAGTCGAGAGCGACCCACTGGTTAGCGTCAGCCAGGAAAAGACTTTCTCCCATAAGGCCACGTGTTAAAGATAAGACAGCTCGGAGTATCCCGGCACCAGGCTGTGGTATCTATAGGGAACTTGGGCACAAGTGGCGTTTGCTTAGACTCATTATGATCTAGTCCGCCAGAGTAGTCGCTGAGATTTTGCTTGCGACGGATTGGAAAGGCAATGTAGACGTGAACATCGTTTTGTTTTTTAATCTAAAACCAGTTGACGATTTTCGAGGAGACTTCACATGTTGCAAGTACGAGGAGAGGATTAGGCGATTTGGGACTCGGCTTGAGTTATAAATGATTTTACATAAGAGTCGCAGAGATTCCGCATGCAACAGTTGTGAGAAGCCGTTTGGATGACGAAAGTCGTTCCAAATGTCTTCTTGCACTTGTCGCATGCGAAATCTTTGAGACTTTTGTGTATTGTCATTTGTAATTCACGTCGTGTCCCAATTCGTCTAATTTTCTCTTCGAACTTGTAGCAGGTGACATCTTTGCGAGAATCGTTTAATGGTTTTTGATAAAAAAGAAACGATGTTTAAGTCTGCGTTTCCTTTCCAATCCGTTGCAAGCGGAATCTCAGCAACTATTCTGAAGGGTTGTTTCATGATGATTACGAGCAAACGCCACTTGTGCCCAATTTCCTTTAAGGGGTTTTTCACTATCTACTTCTATTTGTCAAGTAACGGAACAATTATGACGATTATGAGCCTAGAAAATGATAACTTTTCATTACTTTTTTATTTTTTGTAATGCATACTTTTTTATCTATGCTTGTTTTTTGCTTCGCGTGCCTATTCATGGTTCATTTCGTTCAAAATTTTATTTCTCTGGACGTTTTTAATAATTTCCATTTTTACTTGAACCTTTAGTTCTAGCACCAGAACGATTTTTTTTACTTTAATAAAAAAAACCAAGACTGGAATCGCGAGATGACTGACCGGACTAAAATTTTATTCTTTTTAAGGTAATTTTTTAGACGGCACATGATCAAGTAAAGCCTTTATATTTGTTTTAAATAAATATTTTATTCAAATTCATATGCGTGAATAAAGAAATTGATATTATTGAGTCAATTGAACGAGTTTTTCAAAACAACCTAATATTTATTCGTGATAGATAAATATACTGTTCAATCCAAAAATTAAATGATTCAATTGACATAAATAATTATTTCTTATATATAGTATTCTTATATATAATTTATAGGAAATAATCAATTGGTTCAAATACAATTTTGTTATATAAATTAAATTTTTTTCAATAAAATATATTTATTGACTTAACCAAATCTTTTTCTCAGTGCATACTTATACTTTTATAAGAGTATAAAAACTCCGTTATAGACTATTTTAAAAAAATAAAAGTTTAAATCTAACTGTTTGTACTTTTTTGGTAAGCGTACAACTATAAAATGTACGAAAAGTAGAGCCGAAAAAATAGATGCGTGTCATGAAAGAAAAAAAAGTGTCTTACCCACTAGACACATTACATTTCAAGGCTCCGGGGAGATTCGAACTCCCGATCTCCTGTTTACTAGACAGGCGCTTTAACCAACTAAGCCACGGCGCCTTATGATTATGTTTTGCGTAATAGCGCTACATTTCAACAACTTGGCATCTATTCGGCCACTTACCTCTAAAACATCTCAAAATTTTTGGTTTTTGACGTACTTTCAATTGTACCGGGTTGCCAAGTTTTTTCAATAATTTATCTAAGCGAAAAATGCGTACAAACAAATGAAAAGTACGTCGCAGCCATAAAATTACGTATTATAAACGGCTACAAACTGCATTAAAAACAATTTCATTTGTATAAAAACTATACTACACCATTGTTTAGGTTATTACTTTTAGAATGAGATATCGATGAGCTTGTTCGCACAAAAACGAGCCAAGTTACAGAGATTATAAGATAAAAAAGCTCGTGAGTTGACGGACTTATACGTTTTTTCAGTCGCTGAAACCGAATTATAAATGTGGTTAAGTTGTGTTTTTTAAGTTTTTTTAACATTCAATCTTAATAAGAGCGTTCATTGAACAATGACCAATTTTTAAAAATTGTTTATATCAAATTAATTTAAATTAATTAATTTATGCATGCGCTTCACGAAGTAATGGTTCACTAGCCTCAATGTGAATTTGGATCATACAGCAGGCTTTTTTAAATAAATAATTGTTTAGAATGATTTTATTTTTATAAATTTACCGAATAAATAAAGTCACAAACAATTCGAATCGTTAGGTGTATAGACGAAAATTTAAATAAAATGAAAAAGTAAGTATAGTAAACCGCCCAAATTTTTACCACCGCAAAAAATTGACTATTTTCTGAATAATTACTTATAAATTGTTTTCATAAATATTAATCTAGTTTTAATATTTTCCCACCACGGTGAGTGATGTTATACCTATACTTTGAATTAACGTTCAAGCCTTTAACTGTTAATTAACAAAATATTGAAAATTTTTTGGCGGTTAATATTGGACCAGGCATTGATTGACATACGACCAATTATTAACCACTACTTGGAACATACAATAGCATACGAGTAAAGTTTGATCTTAATCTACTTAAACTTATTTTTGCATACAATTAAATCAAACAGTATTGGTTTGACGAGCACTAATCAGTTACAATGATTTATGATTCGATTTTATCATATTAACGAAGAGTAGTGTTCAATTCTGATAAAACTGTGCATGATATTATGTAGGTCATTCATTGGACGAAGTTCGGTTAATTATTGAAGATATTAACCAATGGAAGTAGTCAATAATAGTCATTTTGAGGTATCTTGTCAAATCATCAATTTTAATAACATTAATGATACTGACGTAATATTTCAATATTTTTTATTGATTAAACTCTTAATGAGCTATGCGATGATTTATTTGGTATTCTTTCAATTGCAACCATTCAATTCAATCGCGCTGATGGCAAAACAATGTGTCTTTCATCCACCGGCCAACATTTTTCCTAGGCTCCGGGGAGATTCGAACTCCCGATCTCCTGTTTACTAGACAGGCGCTTTAACCAACTAAGCCACGGCGCCGCGATATAGGCGGTACCACGCACGAACAATCAAATTTTTGAAAAAATTAGTATCGAGTTGTAAGTATATGTTCGCGCCGCGAAAGCAAAAATAAGCGTCCATTAACCACTAGACACCATATTCCTCCTAGGCTCCGGGGAGATTCGAACTCCCGATCTCCTGTTTACTAGACAGGCGCTTTAACCAACTAAGCCACGGCGCCGAGATATCGTCGAGCCTCCGCATAGACCGCGAAACTATACGGTGCAGTAGTCGCGAACGTAAAAAGTGGGCACGCCGCGATCAATTTTATCGGGTCGCGACGCGGGCAAAAGAATGACGTCCATTAGCCACTGGACGTCATTTTTTCACTAGGCTCCGGGGAGATTCGAACTCCCGATCTCCTGTTTACTAGACAGGCGCTTTAACCAACTAAGCCACGGCGCCGAGCTGTTGGAGTGGTGGAATTTACCAAATAGATACAGATAGATAGGCCGGGCCACGCAACACACACACCACCGGCCGTTTTTCGACGTCTTGTATGCGTATATACCATGCTCATCCACGCTCCACCAAGTTTTAGGTATAAGTGGCATGTGTCTAGGCAGAAGCAGCTGCGCGCGAGTCTCGAAATCACACGCTTATACCCATTCTATCTTTTCTAATCAACTATATATTTTCGAACTCGGGAAAAGAGGAATATTTTTTGTTGAATACGTATCAGCTCATTAGAGGTAATTTATTAAGACAACGAGTTTTCGAGAATATATTCAACTCCTTGCGGTGAATCTTTTTTTCCCCGCGCTTATCAATGATTAGTCACGGCTGCGCGTAAAATTTTCGATGCCGCATAATCGATCTCTCTAGTATAAACACATAATAATAACATAACCGGTTGAGTCTTTACGCGCGCGCAAAAAAAGCGCCGAGGTCCTCTGGCGAGTAATTATCATCTCTTCGAGTTTGCGAAAGATCGCATTTAAAAAAGGCCGGCGCAATGTATAAACGCGAGCCTTGAACGAGGAAAAGACTATTGGGCTTATTCAATGATATTGTAAAGGCGTCGAAGAAGTATGCAAAAAATGTCGATGACAGCGGGCGCCTCTGGGCATGTTACTTCGGCTTTTCGACAATCGACAAAAATCTCGCGAGGACGACGAAAAATCCTCGGGGCAGCACAGCGTTGGGTTAAAAACGTTACGCCACCGACGTAAAAATACACAAATATGTACACAAATATGTATATGTAGTTGTCGCGTATATATATATGCGAGACAGAGACGGGGAGAGAGACGATTTTGTATATAACACGACACAACACGGAGAGGTGCAAAACGTTGTCGTGCGCGGCACACACGCATACTCGTGTATGTATCTATATACCTCTACATGTGTTGTATCCGTTGGTAAACGTTTTTGCGCGCTTATACTACCTCCGCTTTGTGTATAGGCGCGCTCGTACCCGAGCAGCTGTGGTGGTAGTAGCTGCAGTCGCGCCTGTATAGTGCAACAGGTCAGTAAGACTCGGGCTTTCGCTTTGCAAGCACATTCTGCTCAGCAGCAGATCTCTCTTTTTTTCTCTCTAAGTGTTATAAGTGCGCGCTATACCTTCTTGTTTTGCACCCGTGTATCAACTCGTAGTGGTCCTCTGCGATAGGATCGTGAATTCTTCTTTTCCAGCTTTGTCGCCTGTGTGAAATATTTTCTGTGATTTTGTGGCAGTGCTCGATAATTTTTTTTTCTTCACAAACAAATTGGCGCACGGTGGACATCGCTACAGCAAGAAAACACCATGTGAGTATAACGCGTAAATAAAATGCGTTTGACGCTACTCGTATCGGTAGCAGTTCGAAGTCTTACTTTGCCCTTTTTCGTATACATACACAACACGGACAGGCGCGCACGCGTCTTCATGGGCGGCAGATGCAGATGTTTACTTTTTTTTTTGCTCCTTTTCGAACGTACGTATAATATAAATCGGTGCGCGGCGAGGATAACAGCATCGTGTATACCTATACGTAACACGCCCTGTCGCATAATAGATCTTGCCGTTACGTCGCAGGACGTACTCGTGTGCGCTTCTTGAGACTTCCTCTCTCTCTCTCTCTCCGTACATTTCTCTTTTTCGGTCCGTTTCCTTCGATATTATACGCGCGATGATGGTGCGCACACATGTGGGATACATTTGCGGCCCGCGCGCCGCGTGTGCACGCTCATAATGCGCTCGAACACCGTGGGGGAAGGTAAAAAGACCTTTTTTTCTCCTTGTCGGCGTAATCGCTTTATTTATTTTTTTTTCATTTATTTTTTTCTGTAGCTCTCTCTCTCGGTTTCTTCCGGCGTTTATGGCACGGTGTAATTTATACGGGTCTCTCTCTCTCTCTTTGCGCGGCACCAACCACTTCGTGTGTGCACTTTTGTTTTGATACGGATATTATCTCGCGTGGCCGAGTACACACAGCTATATGCAGCACACTCGTGGCCTACAAGCTACGTGCCAGACGATCGTACCACGACGGCTCACACACAATATACGACCGAGTGGAATCGCGATATAATAATGGATTCGGTGGAAGGAAAGCAGAAGAGTCGCGAAAATCTTTTCCCTCCCGAGAATTTAGATTATATACGCGCGAAATTGGAAAGCGCGCTATTGTTGTTGCTAAATTATTGCCACGAACTTCGATCAGCTGTCCGCTCCTCTTCGCGTAAAAGCATATAAGCTGCAGTGTACATAGCGCAGTGCAATGTTGCGATAATGCGCCCAGCTCGCTCACGTGCGCCTCCGCGTACGTGTGTATGTACAAACAATTTAATCAATTTGAATTGTTGCTTCGCGCAGCGACAGATCGAGTTCAGTTTTTTTTTTTTTTTTTAGCTGCAGCCCATGTTTATTAGTAAGTAAGTACCGCGTGCATACGAACAGGCAAACACGAAGCGCACGGAGTTGGTTAAATATTGACGCGATCATCGTCAACGGCGATCGCCTACCAAGTATAGATGATTCGCTTGGAAACATCTCGGCGCCGATTGCTGTAGGGCTATGTACTGCATTAATAGGACGCGCAATCGTGACTAACGCGTCTTGTCACTCCAGCTATATAATACAATGTACAGCTATGAAGCGGCTCTCGACTGAAAATAAAAATTAAATAAATGAAAAATAAAAACGCAGCCTGGAACACGGAAGATTTTTAATCGTTAACATATTCGTTAGCCGATTGCTCGAGTCGCGCGGGTATATATACGTTGACAGATCGTTTTCCCATGCATGTACACGCGCGAGAGAGATTTATGTTCGTCGCTAATTCAGCCGACACGATCATCGTACTCGTTTTAAATAAGCCAATCGCTGCGATTCGATAAAGTCGATTTTCAGGCGCGCGGATGTACTCTTGGACTCGCGCGCGCGCGAACGATTAATAATTTCCAGAATACATAATAAGTTGTAGCCATAAGCTATTACGTTATATCGTCGTCGTCGTCCGCGTCGTCTCTCGAAGTGTTACACTTTCGCACCTCTCGAGTGAACATGTAGATTAAGTGCGTTACATGTTCATCGGGTTATATATGGTGATCGAGTATATACGACCATCGCCGCGTGCGCGCGGTATATATGGTCAACCGCAATGTTAAAGTATAAGAGATGCTTCGCGCGGACTTTGTGTATGTATATATGTGATAATAAAAGCCGCGTGAGTAACGTTAGCCCTCGTGTGATTTAGCGTACATTATTACGCGCTGATGTATCGTAATAATGTAATTACTCGGGACACAAGTCGAGAGATCAGCACGATGTATAAGCCTCGTAAGTTCGGATTTTCAACATTTTTTATTTCGGTGATTTCTTCTGCTTACGATATCATCGTCGTCGAGATTCACGCCCGAGCGAGAGAGAGAGAGGATTATAATCCACGTTCGCGAGCGCATAACTATGCATATGAGAGAGACGCGCGCGCGATAAGGAATATCGGGCTGTCTGAGTCATACGCGGCATGTATACTCTGCCTCTCTCTCTCTTTCTCTCGAGAAAGAGTCATGTGCACGCATGGTTTAATAGCGTCGCGATCCGAAACAAGAAGAAGAAGAAAGAGAGAGAGAGAGACGAAACGATGATGAAATTATTGTTCTCGCGCGCGAGACGTACATATACGCACATTAGCATAAAGTATATCTCTGTTTGTTTCTGTTGTTTTTTTTACTTACTCGATCTCGTGGCCGGACCCTGGCTATATATGCTAGAGTACACTGCACGGGTATAAACAATTGTCACTCTTGTCTCCATATGAGTGCATGTATACGCGGACATATAAAATTTAATTACCACTTGTGTTCGACGCTCACGAGCGAAAGACGTTTTCATTTCGAGCTGTTACTGCTGCTGTTGCCGTTGGTAAAAAAATGTCATGATTTTCTTCCTTGGGCCCCAGCAGCTCGTGTGGTGTGGTGTGTGTGTGTGTGTGTGTGTGTGTGTGTGTGTGTGTGTGTGTGTGTGTGTGTCATTGAGTAACTTTAACAGCAGGATATATGTATATTAATATGCATTATATCGTCGCACCGAGAGCCGCCGCAGAGATCTGCGCAGGGTATATCATATACGTGTATTAACCGCGCTTTGATCTTCCACGAAGGCGAGTTCGTGATTTATCCCGTAACGCGCGTATATTACGATATTATGCATTCATCTTGGAATACGAGTGCAGCAGCAGCTACGTACATAAAATTCGACGGACGACGACGTAGGGGCTTTTTAATATCGGAGCGCGATATTATATATACACAAATTTGATTCGGTTACGCGCTTATGGCATCAGCCGACGGTGCAACGAACCGCATTTATGCGTCTCGATCGTCAAGCGCAATAACAAATCCATCCGAATTCGATTCATCTCGGAGCCGAGATAAGAGCTCAGAAAGGTTTTGGCACTCGATCAGATTTCTATAAACAAAAATAAATATTTCGCACGCGATTCGATACCTCGCGTATAAAACAATAATAATCAATGATACGCAGCATAACGCTTTGTAGTCGTCATCGCCGCGCGAAGACAATGAATTTCTTATCTCTCGACGCGCGCGCATTATATAAAAAGCCCCGCGACTCATAACTATATATAATGTGTGTGATGAAGCTTGGCGTACATGAGAACTGGAGTAAATATTACATAAGGGACACTCGGTACTGCTACGCCGCTGCTGATGTATTACTTTAATAATTTTTCGATTTGTACCATGTGTCATAAACTAGACTGGTACGCGTCAATCAATTTGCGCTCGTATATGCAAGGCAAGAATCTTACGTTCGAGTGATGTGTATACGAGCCATAAGAGCAGCTGCGAATACATCTGTTATTGAAAATTGTCATTATCGGCGCGCATCTTGTAACGTTTTACCTATTAGTGCACTAAAGCCTCGAGTGCATATTCATTATCGGCGCGAGCGGCATAACGATTTATATGCGATTTTTATCGATACATGTACTCTAGACGCGGCTAAAAGTTTCCGAGAAAAAGAGCGCGCTAGGCCGAGTTTTATATGTGCAGTTATTTATCGACGAAAAAAAAACCTAGGTGCGATGATAATTGCGCAATGGTGCACTCCACATCGAGAGAGAGAGAGAGAGAGATAATTATTGCCGCATTAACCGCTAAATATATTGAATAAACGAACGTTTCACGCGCACGGCGTATTTTCAAGTATAAAAGTGACAGATAGACACACGTGTACGAGCGAGAAAAGAGAGGGACGCCTGCAGTCACGTCTACCCGATTTCGTCGTGGGTATATCGGTGTGCCTCGCGATGCACGTATACGAGACACCGAAGAAAAAAAATGCCTAGACACGCGAGAGAGGCTGACTAGTTAGTAACGTGTATGTATGGAAGCGTATGGATCTATCGTGTGCGCGTACAATAGACTCGGAGGTGGCTGCGGCGGCGGCGGCGGGCAGGTCATTGCCAGTCGAAGATTAATAGCCGCTAACTTATAGCACTGACTGATAGCGCGAGAGATATATGTAATAACGTTGCGAGATAAACTATGTAAATTCGCGAGAGTTCGTTTTCTCAGTACTGCGAGTCTTTTTCACCCATACCGATCTGACTCGAGATCGGTTCGCGCTCCATGTCAATCGCTCGTATTATATAGCTACAGTCCGATCTGTCACTCGTAATATACGATACAAATCGTACTCCCTCTATGCATAAATAATTACCACAAAGTATTTGCACGCGATTGCAGGTCGATCAAGGATAAGAATCGTCGAATATCGTGGCTACTGCCCGCGATCGCCGCCCTCTCGCTCGTGCTGCTCCAGAGTCGAGACGGCCTCTGCGGCAGGCCCGACTACACCGGCCTCGAGGGGCCCTACTGCTCGCGCTACTTCCAGCAGCACAACTGCTGCCCGGGCCGGCAGGACGAGTGCAGCGTGCCGATCCTGGGCACGCTCTGCTACTGCGACGATTTCTGCAGGAACCGCTCGGCCGACGAGGACTGCTGTCCGGATTACTACTCGCACTGTCTGAACGAGCAGGCCTTCTCCAGGCCGGGCGATCTTCATCTGGGCCGTGAGTATCGCGAGCTATTTATAGCGCGTCATGCGGATGTACGATTGAACTTGACACAGAAATAATGAGAAATAAAACTAATTTACGCGTTTTTTTTCTCTTCGTCTCGCAGAATGCTATCACAACGGAAGAACCTATCTTCACGGCGACACTCTCAAGATCAACTGCAATCACTGGTGAGAATCTATATAATTCTAATTAATTTTCACGATCGAAGATAAATCGTGAGCTGACTCTGAGACGTGGCGTCGATAAATAATAATGCAACGTTCAATCGATGAGAGATGCAATAAATCTGTGAGCTCGGCTGCACACTGTTGAGAAAAACCTTATATTTAAATTAATTTAAATAATGCAGATTCGAGGCACAAATTTAAATCAAAATTAAAATAACTGTATTACTGCTTAATTTTATTTGAGGTATAATGCATTAGGACTGATTAAATTAACATTGACTTTACAAAAGAGTCAGGGAAAATTCAATCGTACACATTATTTTTTATGCAAAACTGAACGAAAAACATTTATATTTTTAGCCAAATTTTAATACGATGATAAAAAATTAATGTTTTAACATTGATTTAGTTTTTGCGTTAACTGCACAAGAAAAGTATAAGCATGCAATAAAAACTAAATCCGGCCTTTACCACTGGATGGCGAGTACCTTTATACCTGTAAATCTGCAAGTGACAAAGTAAATATAATCGTATAAGTCAAATCAAAGATTCCATAAAAATGGATTTATGTTCATCATATCGGTAAATAAAAAATTAATTTGAATTAAACAAATTAAATTTTCAATATATTTAAAATTTAATTAAATCATTTCTTTCTAAGTCTTGAGAAATCAATTCAAACTACATTATAATTGTCATGCTTTCACATGAGTCTGAATTCTTATACAGGATTTTTTTGTCTCGATGACGCTGTCACGCCACAATTGCATGTGCTGCGAGCGCCATTTGTGACTTTTTTCATATTGTGAACGCGGGCTCGAAACGCGTGGTACTCAAAATCGTGAGCACGAAGTCGCGAGCGCAGCGGCAATTTTCGTGAGGAAATTGTGCACGGCGATTTATATATGAAGCTCTGTTCATGCGTGCGACCTGAAAAGCTCTCCCTGAATTTACATTTCGAGCCGTTGGTGTTTGAGGTTACATTAGCTCGTTGACATTATTTTGAACGCTCGCACGTGATAAGTTTTTTTTTTTCATAGGTAAACTAAAAGAGGGACATTTCAACTGATTAGCATAAGTGCCATTTTTAATGAGAGGACCGCTACATTTAGAGGGTTTATTGTACATTTCCTACAAACTAATAGATTAAAACTAATAAATTATTAAAGCTCTAAATTTATATCTACTTGTAAAAATGATTTATTAGCCTTTGTGGATTTCTTCCAGGCTCTTCTATATATTTACGGTTGTCGCAAGGTTTTTTAGGCTTCTGATAAATAACAGTTTTATCCTTATAACATGAGCTGAGAGTATTTTTGCAGTTCTTAACTTTTTCAAGTTTTTCGTCCAGGCAAATACGTATCTCTTGGATATATTGATTTTTATTCATCTGTAATTTGAGACCGTTTTTTTATAAAAAAGGCGTTCAAATCAGTATTAAATTTCACATTTTTATTTTTTACGAACCGTTTTATAGCAGACGATAGTAGGAGTAGCACCCAGGAAATCTGTTAGATGTTGGAGGAAATTTGTAATTGAGTACGGTTTTCCCGGTATGATTCTATCTATATCAGACAGATAGTTACCAGGTTGGTACCTCAGGTAGAGTTCTATGGTCTTTGTAAAGTATAGATCTGGACTGTTCATGTTTGTTTTTTTCACACAGGTACCATGCTTGTTCCATTCATACTGACGAAAATCGGAGCTAGACAAGCTACTGTAAGAAAACCAGTATGATGTTAGATTGTTCTTTAAATCATCAGAGAAGGATGACTCGTCAACTTTCTTTTTTCTTTCTTCTTTTTCGCAAAAATATAACTTTTTGATTTTTTTAGTCTCTGGTATGCTATTATTACTTGGCCACAAGCCGTGAATGGTCCATTTATAAATGTCTTTTGGCATGTCGCATTCGCTACACTCTTTCTTTGTGGATGTAATGATCGCTTTATTCTGTTTATCTTTATCCTCTATATCCTTGTATTGTAAGTAATGACAACTACCCTGAGGCCACATTAACGATAAAACAAAGTGATCGTAATAAGTTTTTGGTTCTTCTGAAGATTTTTCTGTATCGGAATCCTTCTTCCCCATCTTGAAAATATCCATTATCAACTTCTCGGAGTCCATACTTTTGTGACTGTGCAACATTTTCATTCAAAAATTATTATTGATACATTTTTATAAAGATTTTCGGCTTATTATACCTACATAATTTCTCTACAGTTAGAATATATAAAATTATCACTGATTACTAAAAAAATTAAAATTGCAACCAATTCGTAAAATATCATTGTAATTAGTTTTTGAATGTTCAAGTAAACTTTATACGTTTGGAGCTTTTAGCGAATAAGGAAATATTTTAATGCAGCATATTTATAAACTAATATTTTATTAGAAACGTAACTGATTTATGGAAATTGTACGTCATTTTGAGAATATGGAATTGTTACAACTTTAAATATAATTCCCGGGACTTTAAAATGTAGAATTATTAAAATATATTCAAAGGGATACATACTCCTTAAACTCAATTTTTTATTCGATTTTTGAGCAGGATGTTTTTTCCTTTGCCATTTTTCATTGATAATTAAAAATTTTTTAACTTTCCCTGAGTAACAGCTGTAACCATGATACTTTTCCGCATTCTTTACGTGTTTATTTATTTTTTGCAATGTAAAAAGTTGAATCCTTTCTTGTATAAAAAAAAACAAAAACAAAAGTTGTCATTTCAATCTAGAATGACTTTTTATTTTAATTAGAATTGTGTTTACATATTAAATAAATAAAAATACCTGCGTTTTTCTATAATTCGAAATTCTCGATAATTCAAAATTACACAGCCTGTATTTAGGATCTCGAATTATCGAAGTTTTACTGTACTTTAACCGTGTGCTCACTTGTCTTACATCGTACATAAATGTATTCGCAGCAAATGCTCTTCGCTGAACGGCACCTCGGAGATCTTGTGCGAGCCGAGCGGCACTTCGCGCGACCGCTGCGTCATGGACCAGGAGGTGATCGATCGCATCAACATTCTCGAGAATCCGGGCTGGATCGCGCGCAACTACTCCGAGCTGTGGGGCTATACTCTGAACGAGGCGATCAAGCGCAAGACCGGCACCCTCAATCCGACCCTGTCCATGTGTCACGTGCACGCGGCGCCCTTCAAGCGCGACTACGACGTCGAGGACCTGCCCGAGGAGTTCGACGCACGCCACAAGTGGCCCGGCTACATAGCGGGCATTCGAGATCAGGGCTGGTGCGCCGCCTCGTGGGCCATCAGCACGGCCGACGTCGCCTCGGATAGGTTCGCGATCGCCAGCGAGGGCGCGGAGAGGGTCGAGCTCAGTGCCCAGCATCTGCTCTCGTGCAACAACAGGTATCAGAGGGCCTGCGACGGTGGCTACGTCGACGTCGCCTGGACGTTCGTCAGGAAATTCGGGTATGTATCCGTGCGTTATATTATTAGCCTTATAATTCGCGTTAATTGATTTCTTCGAATTTTTCCCCGCAGTTTGACGGACGAGGAGTGTTACCCGTGGACGGGCGAGAGCGACAAGTGCATGCTGCAACGGCGCCGAGGAACGCTGTCCGAGCTCAATTGCCGGGCGAGAAATTCTCAGTCGTACGAGTTGAGGGACGAGTTCTACAAGACCGGGCCGGCCTTCCGCGTGCGAACCGAGCACGACATGATGCACGAGATCATGCTGTACGGGCCCGTCCAGGCCACCATGAGGGTCTATCAGGACTTCTTCAATTACGAGTCCGGCATCTACAAGCACTCGATTCTGTCCGAGCATTACGCCAACGATTATCACTCGGTCAGAATAATCGGCTGGGGCGAGGAGCCCTCGGCTTTCAACGGCAGCCCCGTCAAATTCTGGGTAAGAGACGTTCCTTCTCGAGCGACCTACGATTATAATTATACCGACGAATCTAATGTTTATATTATCTTTTCTCGACAGCGAGTCGCCAACTCGTGGGGCCGTGAATGGGGCGAGGATGGCTACTTCCGGATTCTACGAGGCACCAACGAGTGCGAGATCGAAAGTTTCGCCCTCGCCGTCGAGGCCAAAACTTACTGAAAGAATAACTGTGTGATTGATATCTGTACAGACTTTTGATATATGAATACGATGGAAAGTGCGAGTCGGCCGTCGCGAGATCGCGAGGCAACGATTTTTACTAAATAGGAAATTTACGCGTTATTTAAAACACTAATAAATCCTTTGTAGCTTTTCGATAGTTTTTTACTTACATACTTATGCTCTTTGCTTAGAAACTAATGTGTAACTTGAGTTTAATTTTTAAGGGTTTCATGTACAGAATTGCAAAAAATTACCAATTTTATTATTTTCTATAGTATTATAATGTAAAGTAATAGAATAATGATGTATTCTTATTATTCATTGAGTAGCGAGTAAAGTGTTCATGTAAATATTCCGAGGTTGATAATAAATTCGACGAAATAACATTTGAAAATTCAATCGAATTTTTTCATTACATATCAATAGCGATGGAATAATTGAAGAATCTAAAAAGGCATCTCGCGAGCGATCGCGTTCAAATATGTAATCTAGAGCGCACATATTTATTTTAGCCATTGGTGACGAATGCATGCGCGGCATAGATCAATTGTACTGCACTGCGTGTTTATATTCAGATTGGCTCGATCGATAAATTGGAGAATGCCACGCACGGCTCGTGGAATTATTTTCTTTTTAAGCTATCGCTCGACGTTCCGCATATTTTTGTCACGAAATACTCGAGCATCGGCGTCGAAATTTTTCATTTCCGTCTTGCGTTTTGCTTGATTTCATTTTATAATAGAAATGACGTAATTGACGTTGACTTTAATCAGTAGAATAAAATGTCTATTTACACTCTTTTTTACACTTCTTTTTAGATCGTAAACGATTTTCGTTGAAATACGATCAATCTTAATACCGATTTGATTTTCTTATGCTATAAAGTAGAGTTACAAAAAAATTAAATGCAAATTATTTGTTATGTTTATTTGAAAACTTATGTAGATACTCTCATTGGAATTTTTTTAGAATATTTTAGCTACATTTTAAAGGAAAATTAATACATAAAGATAATTAATTTTATAATCCTTCTAATATTGACGAAATCGAAATTTATTTCAAAAAATTGCTTGCAAAGTTTCATTCACATTTATGTGAAATATTTTTCTTTACGTAAATTTTTTCGGAATATCATAATATTCGAATGTTAAAAATGATCATCGACCTTCGTTTGTGCGTAGTGGATCAGACATGCACGAATTTCTTATGTTTATTTATCTTAACGTAGTCACGAGCGTTACAAGAGCATCTTAGGAGTGATTTTCGCGGAATCTGTCGGCAGAATGTAATAGAAGCAGAGAACAAAGCAATACTCGTGTGCCACTGTGAACTATGATCCCACGTAGCTATCTTATCGTGGGCCAGTGCTGGGCCAGTACTGACCCCAACGCTGTCAGTACTGAAATTAATGTTGGACCAGTACTGGCTGGATACTGGAATGATAACAGTAAATCGGTACTGGCAGCCAGTATTGGCCCACACTCTTCACAATCTTAGGCCAGTAATGGATACCAAAAAATATTTTTTTGATACTGGCTCGATATTGGGTCAGTACTGGCATAATACTGGTTGCCAGTACTGATTTACAGTTATCATTCCAGTATCCAGCCAGTAATGGACCAAGATGAAAAAAAAACCAGTACTGACAGCCAAGTGTGATGAAGTGCAGTAAAATTAAATAATTTTCTTCTTCCAATCCAATCCGCTACGAATATTACACTTATAAGCATGTACATTGTACACATAAAGAGAGGTGGTCTAGAGACTGTTGATTCACCATTTATTTACTTAAAATTTAAATACATTGCGAGTACTCGGAAAAAATTGATTACTCGAAAAAATTCGAGTACCCGAAAAAACTCGAGTACTCGAATTTTCCCGACTCGACTCGAACTCGAGTTAGAGTCGAGTTAAACTCGAAAAATCGGATACTCACACAGCCCTAATCATAATAATAGTACAGCGAAGCGTATGTCGGTCTCTCGCATCAGGCAGGCAACCGCTCGCACTATTCGAAATCAATGATTTTACGCACATTTCATTTAATTCGTTATTTAGTTAATTCGACAAGGGGTACTTTTTAACATACCAATCGAAAGGTAGTGACTTGAAGCATAACATGCTCAATTTTGATTAAGATCTGTTGTTTAATAAAAAAGTTATGGCGTAAAATGTATGAAATTATGGTGGCCTCCCATAAGAGCCCATGTTAAATTTGCTATTTTCAGCGGCTTCGTTCTCAAAAATTAGTTCGATAACCCATGCTGAAATTTCTACAGCATTTCAAGGGCACTTTAAATGACATTTCTGAGCCTTTGTCGTCGACGACTAAAATCGTAAGGAAGTTCAGTTAAATCTGGCAAATCACCTTTGATACTGTGGAGAAGATCAGTGATAGCAGAATGGCTTACGTTATGATCAATTGCCAAATATGAAAGAATCGATTGCAATTTGGACGACAAAAATGAAGATGAAAAGAAAGGGTTCATCATTTATCACTACTCTTACCGTTCCATTTACGTTCCTTTTCAACTCTTTTAAATTATTAAAATTGTAGTGCTCTGAATGTACATTTTTTAAGCTATTTTCAAAAGAAGTTTCTTCATTTTCAATGACATTAATAAATTCAGACTTTAAATTATATTTTGGCACTTCCTCTTCAATAGATTTCATATTAAAATAAGGGTTTACTTCCCTTGCTGGGAAAAATCATATGATAAATCATGTAAAAAATCATATTATTAATCATGCCAAAACATCATATGATTTTTCCCATGATTTTTTTCAGCAGGGTACGTTTAAGGTCAAATTCAAGATCACTATTCAATTCCTTTTTTAAAAAGACGTTGCATAGGAGGTTTTCGGGTTTTTTTTAAGTGTTCGAGTTTTTGAAGTGAGATTTTTTAAAGGGTTTCCATAGTTTTGTCGCATCTTGTATGTTTCTATTTTCTTTAAAACTTCAAACTTACCTATGCGGGAAAAGAAAATTTATCCGGAAAAAGACTTCGATAAAAAAACTGTTATTTTTAAAATTAACCGAAATGTTAGGGGAAGTATTTTTTTTTAGGGGCGTCCTGGTTAATTTGAAAAATCGATTTTTATATTGTCAGTCTAGTACGCACGGTTTGGTAATATTCAAATAAATATGCATTAGATTAAAAAAAATAGTAATTTAGGCAGCCGATGAAAGTCTAAATACATGTCTGTTAATTGCTTTCGAGGTCGATCGTTCGCAATTAAAAAGGAGTGAAATTTAAAAGTTGTTGGCAGGAAAAAAACAATTCCGGCATTTTTCCAATGCGTTATCAGCTACGCTAGCGCGAGCTCGAATAGCATCAATATTCGACAAATGCATCAATTGATCTCTGCCGCGTTCGTCATCAATTGCTAAAATAAATATATGTTCTAGATTAGATTTTAGCAGCTCGTTCGAGGCTCTTCTGGATTCGCGCAGTTCAGCTATCTAGCTAACAGTTGTCAAATCGAATCTGATGGGTTGCAAAGACGCGCGAAGCAATAATGTCTTTCGTTGTGATTTTTTTACTGTGCTGCACGAGTTATATGGTCAGATGTGACAACCTAGAGAATAATTACAGTTTAGATCTGATTCAAGTAGTGAGTATTACGACGACGGTTCCGATTATAATTTACGGCTTCAAACATATAATCGATTTTTTTTTCAGTTATTTAGGCATGGCGAGAGAACACCGATCGACTGCGAATCGAGGATGCTGCAAGCGGTCAGCAACGCATCGTCTTACGACCCGTGGGGTTACGGTGAATTGACAAATGTATAGTTCGATGTACACTGTTCTGAAAAATCGAGTGGTATAATTCGATAATTTTCATTTTTCGCAGCGTGGAATGATGCAAGAGTACGAGATCGGTCAAATGTTGCGTAGAACGTACGATCGTTTCCTGCCCAAGCTGTACAGACCCGAGCACGTATACGCGCACTCCTCGGGCACGAGTCGCACGAAAAATTCCTTGGCTTTGGTTCTGGCCGCGCTATTTCCTCCCGCTGCCGAATTGAGATGGAACGAGCATTTGAATTGGATGCCGATCAATATTTTTACCGATCCGAGACCTCTCGACGTGCTGAACAAGCCGCGCGACTGCGTAAAGTGAGTGTATGTCCGAGTTCTTGAAATTTTTTTTTTGCAGTTAAAAATTGTTTGAAATTTCTGTAGATTTAAAAAATATTTAGATGATCTGATAAATTCGACTGAATTGAAACCTATGGTAGCGGAACACGAGGAGGTTACGAATATCGTTGGCAACATTTATGGACAAAAGTTCGATTTAGGCGATCTTTTTTGCATTTATAATGCCTTATTTATACAGGTTTGCTATATATTACTACATGAAGTATTCGCTTGCATAAATTCTTATACATTTTTTGTTTTGACAGAAAAATTTAAAGTTAAATCTACCGCAGTGGTACAACGATGACATTTACGCAAAACTCCAAAGGGCCACGAAATTTCACTTCGAGACCTTGTCATACAATTCAGATCTGAAACGATTGAACGGTGGAACCTTTGTGCGACGAATGTTGGAAAACATAAGAAAATCACTCAACGAGTCCAATCGTAGGAAAATTTATCTGTACAGCTCACACGATAAAAATTTGCACGCCTTCGCTCGAGCTCACGATTTGGATTTAGCCGAGTTGCCCGATTACGGCTCAGCCATAGTGCTCGAAAAGTACAGCGACGATTTTGATAAGCATTACGTCAAGGTAAATTGTAATGAAAAATTTTAAGTCTCAGAATTGTAATATTTTTAAATGTATACTTTAGTTGTCGATGTGGTCCGGATTTCCCAAGAAGTTGAGAACTCTGAAATTGAAAAATTGCGAAGAAATGTGTCCTCTCGACGAGTACACGAAGCTCATCGATCCCGTTTTACCTTCTGACGAAGAGATGATGTGTTTATTCCAAAATTTAGAACCCAGAGATATTCAAAGAATTCTCACCACAGATACGTCAGCTATAGATTCGTAGGATTTGTAATAAAAATAAATAAATAATTTTCAAAAAATTTAAAGATACAATTTATTCATTGAATCAATTTACAAGTAGCATAATCCATCTAAAAGTTGCGATATTTTTGTCAAGTTATCCAAATGTTTTAAAATATTTGCTATACGATATCTACAGATATTATTACTTTACATAAAAATTATAGTTTTTACATGATCACAATTGTCGTTATTTCGTTTAAATTTAAAAGTATCTATATACTCACTACCAATCATCCAGGAACTAATCAAATAGTACATCAACATTCACTCCCTAATACAATCGCTCAATTTCTAATTATTTTCAACAAACATGCTCGACCTCGTTGGTCTCGAAGGGCGCGTCCTTGTCGCAGGCCAGCTCCTGGGTCGTCGGGGTGACGTGCTCCAGCAGCCCGACGAACTTGTCGTACGGACAGATCGGGTCGCAGCCGGGTATGGGCACGGTCTCGTGGTCGTTGGGGATGCCGCGTCTGTAGATGACCTCGACGTAGTGCTCGCCCGTGTCGACTTTACGCTTCAGCTCGATTATCACGGCGCTGCTGTAGGCCGGCACGTGGGGATAGTAGATGCCCAGCACCTGGAGCACGGCCGCCACGTTGGTCTCGTGGCCGCTGAACAGCGAGACGTTGTAGGCCCTGTCGCCTCCGGCGATCTTCGCATCCATGTGGTCGATGATCTGACGCAGCAGCTTGCCGCCGTTCAGGCGACGCATGCGATTCGTCTTGCTGAACATCTCGTACCACTTGTTGGTCACCTCGAGTATCTTGCCGTGCGGATAGTAATCCTTGGCCCAGTCGGCGATCGGCAGACCCAGGTGGGTCTCCGCCGTCAGGATGTGATAGAGATTGTAGACCTCGGTGAGATTGTGGCCGGTCATGTCCTTGCCCGTGAGCGAGGTCAGCTTCTCCAGGAACTCGTCGTAGCCCTTGAGCTCCTTCGACATGGCGCACTGGATCTTGTTGCGTTCGTGCAGATACTCCGGGCACTCCTCGGGTATCATCAGCCAGTCGCGTTTCGGCGCCTCGTACACCGTGGGTATCGGCTGCCAGGGCAGATTCTTGTTCCAGACCTGCTCGGCCTGGGGCGGGAACAGGCCCGACAGCACCAGCTGCAGACACATCTTCGTGCGGGGATAATCGGTGCTCCGGGCGAACACGGCCTTGGGCCGATACAGCTGGCCGAGGAACTCGTCGTACTTCTCGCGCAGAAACAGGCCGAGCCCGTACTCGCGCATCTTGCCGCGATTCGTGAGCCCGCCGAGTCCGTAGGGGAAGAACTCGCTCTCGTAGTGCGGATCGCTGGGGAAGAGCTCGACCGGGTCGGGCGCCCGATCGGCGTGCCTGAAGACCACCGCGATGTGCTTGGTCTCGTAGACGTCCTCGTCGAGCTTGCCATGGGCCGCTTGAATGGCGATCATCATCGTCGCCGCGAGCAGCGGCAAAGTCAGTCCAGCGAAGTGAATCATCGTGATGATTTTTTTCTGAAAAAGGGACGAGTATGAGAATTAGTTGGCTGTATATATGGTGTACGAGAATTGACGAAAGAGAGCGACTATAGAGTTTATACGAAAAAAATGAGCGATTCGATATATAATGTTAAATTGGCGGAAAACATTTCTTTAAATTGCGATAATACGAGGTAATCGTAAAGAATAATCATTGTGCAAACAGAAAAATTACTTCTTTTTCAATTTTTTTTTGTTAAGAATTATGTAGTCATAAAAAACATTTAGTATTGATGAATTGACTAAAGATAAATCTGTCTGCCTTCGCGTCAAAATAAAAATTTTTTTTCTCTCTGTTCATTGTTACGCGAGCACGCACAGGCACACACAAAATGAAATGACAATAATAACGATAATTTACAAACTTTGAGCGAAGAAAAAAAGTGTCTCGTGGGCGCGCGCGCTTGAATCGACTCCGCGGCTTCGAGTAACGCCGCTGGCTCGAAAATTTTAATATTTAAGCCGAAAACTCGGCGAGCTCGTGGGCATAAAAAAACATTTTTTTAATTGAAGGCGCATGATTTTTCGTCGTGTCTATAAAATCCGAAAGAGAGAGAGAGAGAGAGAGAGAGAGAGAGACACCTACGTCACAGCGAAATCGTAATTTCACACACGTGCACAAATAACACATTATATCTCGTATAGTTTGGCATCTCTTATCGACAATTGCAGAGCGACGAACAATGTACAAGCTTTTTTTTGGCTTTTGACAAAGCACACGTTTTTAAATTAAAAAAACTATTGTTCTAACACAGGGTTGGAGCAACAGCGGCAACTCAAGTTTATTATATTAATATACGCACACGATCGCTCGACGACGGCGGCACTATAAAAACGACTGACAGACGGGAACATGACTCTATTGAACTTTTGCACGCAGAGAGATACATCGTGCAGATTTATATTTATTTCTTATAATCTTCTCGAAATGTAACATAACTAGCAGAATATTGTATTAAAGAGATACATAACTATTGCACATGCGTATAGCCGAGAGAAGGGGGGCAATAATGCGATACACACACACAAGATGATGATGCTACGCGCGAAGCTAAAATAATAATAATAACGAGAAATTGTCGCATGCACGAGTTTGCGCTCAAAATTCAAACACGACAATAAGCGAGAGGCGATTCAGCTTCGCGATAATAAAACTATTGTAAGTTTAAATGTTAAAAATCAATATTCGATGTAATTTAAAAATTGCTGTTGATTACTTACTCTAGATAATCGGCAAAATTATGCAGTTGCAGGAGAAGCGCCGGGTATGCACTATGAACCAGGAGTAAGCAAGTATTAACACTGTACTAGCTGGACTGCGGAGAGAGCATACCACGAGATGTGTGCGTCACAGTAGCTGAGACGATACTAACTGATTTGGTGTTTTTCTTTTCAAACTGATCGAAAATGCTTATGTACCTTGGTATACACATTACGCCTGCATCCAAAAATTGAGTGGCGGGGGAAAAAGATTCAGGGACCAAGCAGATGTCCGAACTGGCTGCATCGTCGCGTTATCGGACGACGACGCACATGATTTGATCGATTGGTTTTTTGGGTTTTTACTCCTCTAAGGAAATTGTATTGTTCTATTGTAACCGGATACGCCGATGCTGCTGCGCTGTAACAAGTGAAAGTCAATTAGCATAATTTGATGAGAATTTTTGTAACTCCATTCATTGTTAAAACGAACTCTATCACTTGGATCCAATTACACCTACATTCCAATGGATTCGCTCCTCTGTAAACGTATTTATGTGTAAGGTCGTTGTCACTCGATAGCCGCGTTATAATTGATGAAAAATTATGTTACGTTCACGCGATATTACTACTAGTCACTGTATATATATATTACTACTCAGCACGCGTCGACGCGTAAAATAATCAACGTATCTATCGTATCCAACGCACCGCCTAACGACGCAACACGTGCGAATTTGCATTGACTAAACTTGTGCAGAAAAAAATTTATTTCAGAGGAAAGTTGACAAAAGCGCGCCCCAAGGTTTTGATAAGATAAAGCAATTATGCTGTTTATTTTTTTGTTACGATGATATATTGTATACATTACTATACATTACTGCGGCGGCGAGGGCGGCCTATAGGCCAAGTTTACGATATATACACATACGCACAATTGAGAAGCTCGTATATATTAACACATAAAATAAAATTTGTATATTTTAATTGATATGTTTATGCGCGAAGAAAGAGAGACAGAACCCAGGAGTTTTTTCACCGTTCACGAGCAGTTAAGATAACACACGCCGAGTCGTATACACACAGTCGTATACGATTTTCCAAAGACGCCACTCTGATAAAAGAGAGGTGAGAGAGAGATTGCGTATTTATTATTAATCCAGGTTGTAAAATTATAGATAATAAAGCGCCCGCGTCTGCAGATGATTATTACATATCTTCTCTCTGCTCGCGATTTTTCCTTTCGAAGAAAAACGAACCGCTGATATCGTCGTCGACAGTGAGGCGCTGTGAAGCGATCCGTGAGGCAGCAACTGCGTATATGCTCGTATAGGTGAACACATGTGCGTGAGATTGAATATATTATAATAATGACGATGATGAAGTTTCGCAAAAGCACGAGCGCGAGCTTTTTGTGCTTGTGTGCGTTGTTGGTCACGTGTACAGCGGCGGCGGCAAAAAATGCGACGGACGATGATCGGTTGACCAAGGCGGTGGAAGAAACAGCGTTGACAAAACTGCGTCTACTGCATGTGGTAAGGGATACGATTTATCTTAGACTATTGTAATTTATCGAGCGAAACAAAAGAAAAAAAGAACGATTCGATGTGTAGCACACCGATTTTCTGTGAATCAAAAAATACAATCGATTGTTTTACGTACGTGAGATAAGAGGCTCCATTGCGTTTGAATCCCATCTAATTCGGCTTTCTCTTTTCTTACCTCTCGAAGCTGTAGTAGCCAAGTGATTAACCAAAGTCTAAGCTCCGCCCCTTGAAACTTTTCGACGTATCATTACAATGACTAGGTGACCGTATGATATTGTTTCTTACGTTCGTCTGTTCGTTCGATAATTTTTTAAAAATATAGTACAATAAAAAGAATTGTAGCATATGTCGCTGACAATTTATAAAACGATCATATAATCTTTAGAAATTCGAAATGAATTCTGTTTCGGTTTAAATTAACGAATTCCAAATTTATTTTAAAATGTTCAAATATTTTATTGTAAATTCGTTACCTATCAAATTTCAAGTAATATTCACTCAGCAAAATTAAATGTGATTATTTTTCAGCTTGCTATCAATCGATTTTACGTACCAAACTACGATGAGGAATCAATGCAAAATCTGACTGACAAATCGTACGTATCATTTTGGAAAATAAAGAGATGAAAAAGATGAATGAATATCATAAAAGACGCGCATAATTATCGCAAAATTAAGAACATAGCAATAATTACAACTAACATAAGTATTTAATGTACTACAATGTATTACAAGTGTATATGCCAAAGACATAGACACGTGAATGGGAGAAAAAGTATTACAAAAATTGGTTTACTGCTAAATAATACATAATATGAAATATAAATGTAATATTTTTATAATAAGGATTAATGTAATTCATTTTGAATATATTCTACATTATTTTTTTAGCATATGATAAATATTTATCCAAAGAAAATTCATTAAATTTTTTAGCTCAAAATAACGAAAAGTAACCGACCAGAACAAAAAACTTTGAATAATGCAAACAAAATAGAACAATCTTAACCCATTAACCCATTAAATCCCAAGAGGACTTTTTTGACACTTATTTCGGTCGCTGTATTTTTGATGAAAAAGGGGTAAAAAAAAATTAGAGGGGTTCCGATTCGAAAAATTAATGTTTAAACAAACAAAATGGTGGTCGGAACGCGAAAAAATGAAAAAAAACTTCTAGAATTTTCAACTCGAAAACGAAGGACTTGAGAAAAAAATTTTATAGAACAAAAAGTGTTTAGAATTGATCAAAGAATACGTTTGATTTTTTTTCAGAATTTTAGGAACAATTTTTGGATTTTTGGAAAAATGGTCATATCCAAAAATCCAAAAATCGCTCCGAAAATTCTGAAAAAAAAATTTACACGTAATCTTTGATCAATTCTAAACAATTTTTGTTCTGTAAAATTTTTTTCTCAAGTCCTTCGTTTTCGAGTTAAAAATTCTAGAAGTTTTTTTTCATTTTTTCGCGTTCCGACCACCATCTTGTTTGTTTAAACATTAATTTTTCGAATCGGAACGCCTCTAACTTTTAGTTTAGACATCGAGGACGCGATATTTGTACGAAAACCATGAGATTTTAAATGCTTTCCGTTTGGAAAATCAAAAAATAAAATCAACCATAAGTTTTGACCTGATTGTTTTTTTGAAAATCTGAGCTTAGATGCTAAAAGGGCATCAAATTTTACATAAGAACAGGCTACTCGCATATTTTTTTAACCCCTTTTTCATCAAAAATACAACGACCGGAATGAGTGTCAAAAAAACGCCCTCTTGGGACTTAATGGGTTAACGACCAAACTGCTTGATTTTTTTGTTGGTTTTCGCAGCGATTTTTTTCCAAATTGAGGCCTCCAAAAAGTTTCGTATGGACTTATTTCGATGTAAAATTTAATGCCCTTTCAGAAACTGAGCTCAAAATTTCGATTCTTTGCTTAATAAAAAAGGTATGGCTACTTATACGAAAAAAAAACGTAAAATTTTTTATAAAAAATCAAGTTTTTTATTTTTTTTCACCATGTTACCGTTACGGAATCACGATATAAATATGATCAAGAGTGATTACGACTATCAAAGTATCTCAGGGAATTTTTATGGAATTTTCGAACCACTACTTCAAACAAAAAATAACTTATAATCATATAAAACATAACTCATTTTCACTCGAAAACTACTGAATTTAGAGAAAAAGTGCAAAAAACCAAAGTTTGAAAAGGAGTTCAAAAATTCCATAAAAATTCTCTGAGATACCTTGATAGTCGTGATCACCCCTAATCATATTTATATCGTGATTTCCTAACATGGTGAAGAAAAATCAAAAACTTGATTTTTTGCAAAAAATTTTACGTTTTTTTTCGTATAAGTAGCCATAACTTTTTTATTACGCGAAGAATCGAAATTTTGAGCTCAGTTTCTGAAAGGACATTAAATTTTACATCGAAATAGGTCCATACGAAACTTTTTGGAGGCCTCAAACTACAAAAAAATCGCTGCGAAAACCAACAAAAAAATCGAGCATTTTGGTCGTTAATGGGTTAATATTGTTGTACTTAACCCTTTAACGCCTGAAATGACCATTTTCAGACAACATTTATAGCGATGAATTACATCGACTAAAAATTGTTTGAAAAACTTTTCAGACATCATTACTCACATAAAATTTAATGTACTTTTCGAATCCGGTGTCAGAATTTAAAAAAAATTATTTAACTAAAAGTTATAAACAATTTTGTAAAAAAAAACATGAAATTTCGAGAAAAAAATCTCGTTCAACTCAAATTTCAACACGGAAAGAAGGTTCGCTCGTGGGTCTCTCGCATATAAATTTAGTCAATGGCGTGTATACTTTATTGTAAAATAGTTATAATGACGAAATTCAAAATGGCGATCATAAATTTGGCTCTCAAAGACCTGTATGTCATAAAATTGAATATTACTCTTCAAAGTTTTTTAAGAAATTTTAAACATCGCAAATGTAAATTACAAAGACACCGGGTATTGGCTTTCGATTTGCGCCAATATACTGCCCCTCTCTCTCTCTCTCTCTCTCTCTCTCTCTCTCTCTCTCTCTCTCTCTCCCTCTCTCTCTCTGTCTCTCTCTCTGTCTCTCTCACTCTACTTTTCAAAAAATGATATTTTGGTTGTGCTGTACAAATTAACTTATTATGATTTTTCGTAAATTTTTGGATCTGTATAAATATTGTAAAAATAATTATCCAATGGGCACATATAGTAAAATAAAAGAATATAATGGTCATAATAATACATGCGGTAAGCGTGCCAGGCATACTCTGGTATGCTAAAAAAATTATTTTAAAAATCAAAAATATGCTTAGCGAATTAGTTTTAACCCACTCCCCCGAATGTAAGAAAATTGAAGAAATATTCAATTGTTTTCAGTTCAAATTCGAGTATTTATGAAAATGGGAAAAATGTTTCATACACAAAAAAGGCATTTGAACTCCCAAAAAATCTGTCGTACGAATATTTCCTCGAGAATGCTCTTTTAATACCAAATGTAAGTAAACTTTCGAACTATTAAATATAAACTACAAATTTTCAAACTATTTATTTTGTGTTCGAGTATTCAACACATTTCACATTTTATACATTTCATTTTGCAGCCCGTGAAAGAGCAGCTTTACGAACTAGGTGTGCAACTTCGTCAGCAGTACTCTGCTTTTTTGAACGACATATACATGGACGAGAGGATGAAAGCGCATACAAATGAGTTTCCGGTATCTCAAATGGCTGGAGAGTTGGTCAACGCCGGACTCTATCCGCCCGTTCGCGAACAGATATGGAACGCCGATCTTATGTGGCAACCCATACCTTTTGGTAATGTATCGATGAGTTCACGAGCATAAGTAAAATTAAGGAATTATAAGCCTACCGTAGAATTTATTTTTCGGTAATTTTTTGGAATTACCTTTTTACGTCGCTAAAGCAAATTAAAAAATTAAAAATTTTTTATTGCTTCACGAGGTATACAAGTTTACGCTAAACATTTTTATCTATTTTTCCATCATTTTTTATACTTTTTTTAGTTTTTTTTTAAAGCATACTATAGGCATTCAATTTTTGCCGCTTTTACGCTCTTTTTTTTTTTTTGAAATTTTAATTTTTTCTTACTTTTTTTTCGTCACAATTTTGAGAGCGAACTATTTGAACAACAATACAGCGTAGATTAACTGAAAATTTAGGAATTAACAATCATAATAAAAGATACATTTTTTTAGAATACAGAATGAAAAACGAAGACATCTTCATGATCGGAACGACGTGTCCTCGCTTCAAGCGCGAAACCGAGGCGGTACTGAATCTTCACGCGAAGGAAAAATCCAAATTGATGGAATTTTTGCACGCACAAAATATAACCGTGAAAAGCCCCATCGATATCTCACTTCTGTATCTCGCCCTCGCCAATGTGGTAAGAATCGCATGCATTAAGATTTTTTACAATCAACGATTCCACGTAACTAATGCATTACATTTTTACATTCCGCAGATGGACTTGAACCAAGCATCCGTGCCCGACTGGGTGCCATCGAAGCTGGGCGAGCTGAAAAACGCCAGCCTCGACGGCTACCGGCTGCTCTCGAAGACGACGCTGCAGCAGCAGCTGAACGGCGGCGCCTTCCTCAAGCGGATCGTCGACGATTCGCGAAAATTTATCAACGGTTCCTTGCCGGGACGACAGATCACGGCCTACAGCGGCGACGAGCGACTTTTCTACGGCGTCATGGACATTCTCGGCATGCCGGCATTCGAGCTGCCCAACAGCGGCTCCGCGCTGGTCTTTGAGCTCGTCAGCCGAGGTGAACAGTACTTCATGAAGGTCCTGTTTTACCTGGGCCCCGACAGCGAGGACATTTGGCTGGCTCTAGACTTGCAGATGGGCAATTCGACGACTCTGACGCCGTTGGACGTGTTCGAGAAAAATATCGAGTACGCCCTGCCGAGCGGCGATCCGAAAAAACTCTGCAGCGGAGCTTCGTCGCTGATATCGAACTTCTTTCTGATCTGTGGACTCTTGGCTTTGCTCAGCCGCGTTGTTAACTGTACGAGCGAGTGAAAAACAAAATTGTTGCTGTAATTTTTTCGCTCGCTTTCTCACCGTGTAAATAAATACCGCCAGACGTTTAAGACAAAATAAAGTATCGCTTTGTATTTTAATTACGCCAATTATAATGTATTATCTGGCTCGTACCTGAAAATGACTGCACACGACTAATGTATCGTATACATTTTTCGCTCGAGCGATTCGAGCGAGGTCGTCTTCGTTGTGTTGTTATTTTTTCTATAGTTTGTCAAAATGTGGGTACCGTCGGAATTGACCACGATCAACGTTCTGATCAACATACTGGGAAATTTTATCACCTCGGACTACAGAAGCCACATCGAGATCCACGAGAACGTGAGAGTAGTGGAGAATCGATTGGCCAACGCGAAGAGTTACGAATTTTCCACGTACGCCGTCGAGGCTGTGAAAGCTTTGGCGCACAATCGGTTTCCAGAAAATTTCTTATTCGGTGCCGCCACAGGTCGGATCGAGGGAGATTACGATTCTCAAGGTAAGTCGCGTTGATACTGCGATTCGTAAGCGCGACAGATTGTAACGAAGTTATTTATTTTCGCCACAAGGCAGAGGAAAATCGACGTGGAATTATTGGACTAAAGATAAGAGAGATGAGCCGGCGTGTAAATCGTTGGAAAAGCACCGAGACGACGCGCGTCTTGTTAAAAACTTGGGGGTACACTCAAAAAAATATTTACAAATATAACACTTTGAATTTACGTAATTCATTCGCGACCTTCTCGCAGGCCAACAGCTACCGAATCTCGTTATCCTGGACTCGAATCATGCCGGACGCTCTATCTCGACGCGTCAGCGTCGAAGGCGTTGCTTATTACAATCGCCTCTTCAACGACCTGCTGTCGAACGGAATCGAACCTCTCGTGACGTTGCACGGCTTCGGAGACGTGCCGCACAAGCTGCAACCGATCGGCGGCTGGACCAATCCGAAGATGATCGACCACTTCGTGGATTTCGCGCGCGTCGCCTTCACCGCGTTCGGCGACCGAGTAAGTTGTTTTTTACGCGAAGAAAGAAAAACAAGCTGAGTTTCGCGGAAAATGCGTAGGTAAAGTATTGGATAAGCATAAACGACCCGTGGGCGGTATGCAGCAGCGCGACGACGACCTCCAACTTGGAGCAGCAGCAGCAGCTACTATTGCGACTCGGCAATTATCTATGCGGACATCACGTACTGCTGGCTCACGCCAAGGTTTATCAAATTTATCGTCATGAGTTTCAAAAGAAGCAAAACGGTAAGTCGCGAGCACAGTAGCTCCCGTAGATATATCATTATTCGAATGGCGCGTGTAATTCGAGAGCATTTCCGCACACGTGCATTCGTACAATCGTACAGGAAAAATCGGTATGAGTCTGAAGGTTCGTTGGTTCGAGCCCTACGACCCGGCCTCGTACAAAGACATCGAAGCCGCCGAGATGAGCTACATCTTCGCCAATTATTGGTTCGTCAATCCGTTGCTCGGTGAGAGGGGCAATTATCACGAGGTGATGCGGTTCAAGGTCGGCATGAGGAGCGCCATGAGAGGTCTGAAGAGATCGCGACTGCCCGAATTCACCGACGAGGAGGTCAGGATGATCCGGGGCAGTCTCGACTTTTTGGGGATCGATTACTTTCGGACTCGGGAGGCGAGATACTCGTCGTCGAAGGAGAGCGACTTGGGCGCCGCTTGGTTGACCCGGCTGAAGGAAGACATCGTAGCCGACGCGAAGAATTTCGAAAAGTCGCTTGAGCGTTTGAACGCCGATTACATCTTGCCGCAGCTGATCGTTACGGCCACGGGTTACGGAGATTCGGGCGGTACAAACGACCTGGATAGAACCGTCTATTACTACGAACATTTGAGCAAGCTACTAACGTGTTTGAAGTCCGGCATCGACGTTCGCGGATATCTGGCCTGGTCGCTTATGGACAGCAGCTCCGCACGGATGAATAGCTACAGGTACATATGGAAAAAGTCAATTCACTTTGCCGCTTCGCGTGCGAACGCAGTCCAAGTGACGATATATATTTATTACCTTTTTCACAAAAGCAAACGCAACTTGCACTACGGCCTGTATTCGGTGGATTACAACAATGCCAACTGCACCAAGACTGAAAAATCATCGGCCAAGCTAATCAGAAATATTTACAAGACAAAGGCGATGCCTCGACTCGCGCGGCAATGACCAATGTCAAAGCCGCCCGAGGCAGTAAATTGGTGTAGCGGTAATAATAATAAAAAAATCAATAAAAGCTCAACCTTTTTCGCATCGTACGTACGTTTATTTTGTAATTATTACATTACTGCGCTTGTTCATATAATGAGACGTTTATAATGATGATATTCTCTTACGTCTACTATACATAAACACATATCACGGAGAAAGAAAAGTTTTTTTTTTTTAATACATGATTCATTAGCTAATTCTCTGCTACGGAGTCTAATTTTTTTTTTATTTTTAAAGTCCAAGTATGGCAGAGATTATACACAGGCTTCGTCTTCTACATTGCAATATTTAAAACCCTACGTAATTCATATTTTCATTTTTTAGAATGTTAACACTTTGTGTATCAATTGATAAAATATTAATGTAATTGATATACACATATGAACACATTTCTGGATTCTGTTTTATTATATACCGAATTATAATTACAGTATGCTGTTGTTGTTTTTTTTGAACGCTCAATTATTATTTTTTTTTTCAACTTTGTTTTTACAACGATTTTTCGTCAAGGCGACAGGTTAGACACTCGTTTTTATTAAAAGCTTTGATTTCATTAGTTTCAGTCGTTTTATGAACTTGGTCAGAATATACGTTTAAATAGTAAGTATAGGATAAGAAGAGTATCATATTTACAAAATTATACACAGGAAACAGACAATGATCTATTTATATTTGGTATATTGTCTGACCGAAGTGTAGCCTATAGATTATTAGCTTTCTTGGAGGCAGACCTTTGACTTTTATCAATTGAGAAAAAAAACAGTGAGCATACGTAGTAATTAATGTCGTTTAAAACAAAAACAAACTTAAACAACAAATTAAGAAACGTTTACGTAAGACTATTCGAGTGACTAAACTTCATTCGCTGAGAATACATACACTAACGGTTAAAACACACACCCTGACGTGTATAATTTTCATACAAGAAAAATTGGTCGATGTACTTTTAAGTAATGCATATTCTTAAGTTGTTTTTCTACAGAAACATAACAAACAAAAAAATCTTTTATTGAAATTTAACATTACAACGATTTAAAAATCAAAAGTACTAAAAATCACGATAACACATTTAAATTAATCATGTAACACCTAATACTGATATGTCTACATTGACCAGTAATAATTGAATAATCAAATAGCATTACATTTACAGAATAGCACTTGATTCATCGACACACTTTGTGTGTGTTTGAATTGATCCCATGCTCATTTAACTAATAATTAAAATTTAAATTCGTGCATGTAGGACCGTTTGACATTTACTTGACTTGATAAATCGTAAATAGTCTCAGTATTCAAGTTAAACTTCTTACAAAAAAAATCATTGGATCGTATCTTTAGAGATGCATAATTTGTGTGTCAGAAATAACTACTTGTCATACAATGACTACTCATTTAAGAAACTGAATTACAATTGATAACGTGACGTTTTTACATTGAATACATGATTTATTCTTTTACAACTTATTCAAAGTGTTGAACATTTTAAAGTTTAATTTAAACGTTACTTCGTTTAATTATCATTATTAATCTCTTTTTTAATAAAATAGTTTATGAGGAAATATATATTTATCTATTTTCCTATTTATTCATTGGGGTTTATTTATCGAAATTTTAGCCTTCGAGATTTAAAAAAACATCGTATTATTTATTTTTTGTTTTTTTTTCATACTTTCCATATCGATTGAAAAATCGTTACACAAATTTTTAACATTGACCTCGAGCGTTTTGTGTATTCGACTTAAACTTTTGTCTCGCGTAAGAACTCAGGAAATTACATTTCAAATATTATATTCAAGATTTGTGACATAACCTTCAACGAGAATCACGATAAGAGAGGTCAAAAAACTTATCTGCATCATATAAGTATATTTGTAAGAGACTATGTGTAATGACTAATACTGTTAATTCTTTGATTCAGCTAGTGGTAACTATATTAATTAGTTAAGCAGATCATATACATATGAGCAAATCCACGTCTCATACAATAAACTAATTATAAGCATTAGTTTTTAGGATAAGGCGCGGATTCGCTCATTATACATCGAACCGTAAAATCTTATCAGTCTAACCTTTGTGAAATAGAATGTTTTTTGTATTATTAAGTTTAGACTTTGGATGTCATTTAAAAAATAGTTAAGCTGTCGCGTTTATTACGTTTTGGTACCTCGTTTACCTTTAGAGATTTCTTTAATTAATCACAGATCTGGTGAAAATGAGTAAGGAGCACAGTCTAGAAAAACTGGCGTTCAATGCTATAAGTTTCTATGATAACGTGTTAAGGAATGCGCTCTAACGCGCGTCTTGAACGAAAAAATTATTTTAAAATTTATTATAATTTAAAATCATCGTCATCACAATGCTCTATATCGTTAGGCGATACGCTAAAGATATATATATCAGTAAATTATTCAAAACCGTTGAGCGATCTGCTATACATGCTTCGAGCTATCTATATAAACTATGTTTCGGTATCGTCAATGGTTTGTCACAGATTTTAAGATTTTAAAATCGATACCTGAACACAAGCGCGCGCACGCATAAATATACATCACGTTTGCACGCACGAGTACGCAAGTAAACAAGTAGAGCTTAAAAAGTAACGATTCATACTTTTTGTCGAATCGCGTATACGGACACACGTCCCTATTATTATACTATTATATACTAAATGTTGCTTTAATATTGTAGTGTAGAACGTTATGACTTAGTCACCTTCCGAAGATTCCGTCGAGCTTCTTGGCACTGAGCTGAACCAATTTTCGCGCGAGCTGTTACTCCTGTAAATAGAGAAAAAACGCGCCTGTTTTATTTCATTTTTTTTTTTTTTTTAATGACGATGATGATGGATAAACGAGCCGAGCATTCAATCGAGAGAGCGAGAAAATGTGTAACTCGAACGGTCACACATTTAAGTAACAGGAGATTTAGAAACACGATCCCGCTTTGGTATCAATTGGCTCTATAAATAAGCTCTCTTGGCTACGATCGCAGGCGCGCTGACACAACGGGGCGCGCGAGCTGCATTGTAAAATTCAATCAATCGTTTTTTTTTCTTACCTGGTGCGTTGCTGCTGCTTCGTGTTCGTGGGCAGCGTGTGACACGTTCGATAATATTGACAGGTCGAATTGTTCGGATGGTGAGCCTCGGCGTCCGCGGCGGCCGGTCGACGCTGCAATGTCATGGTTTCACGCGGCGACGCGACTAGCTCGTCCTCGTTTCCGGCGTAATACCTCGAGGCGCTGGCGCTCTTGCAGTTTTCGCACTCGCTGCGATAATCGTCGTCGTGAATGGTCGAGATGGTAGGAGCTGCGGCTTGGCCATTGTTGCAGCTACACGTCACGGAGTCGAAGCTTCCCTCCTCGTTGACTTGGTTCGCGCTCGCTAACGGAGGCTGAGAGGAGAGAATAATAAAGGCTGAAATATCCGTACTAGGAGATTTGAATTCATGCAAAACTTACCTTGAAATTAAGAGAAGCTAAGGTTTGACTGCTCGATTTGGGCTCCACGGCTTTGCTGAGCGTGTAAGATGTCTTGGCAATGGAGGAACTATTGTAATAAGTATTGGTACTAACGGCAGCTTCGCAACTGGTCAGAGCGGATGAGATGCTCGATGGAACGATCGACACTGGCAGCATCGATCTGGGCGAGCGATTATTATTGGCTTTGCTTTGTGTATTGTCGGAATGATCGGCTAATTTTTCGAAAATCGGCGCAGCGACCGATTGATGCACGCTGCTGCTCTCTTCTCTGGGCAGTCTCGAGCTGCTGCTGCCACCACCACCACCACCACCACTGCCGTTCGCAAGACTTCTCGGAATGGTTCGGTGAGAGCCTACGCTGGTGTTCGGTATGCTCGAGGATATTGTGTAAGCGGTGCTTTGACGAGGCAATGTCGTATGCTGATGATAATTTTGAACGGGTGGTGCGTTTTGATTAGTCGGCAGCATGAGTTGCTTGCTAATGTGCGAGGCGTGTTTAGGCGCTATGCTGGGATTGTTACTCGACAAGGCTAAAAGAAGATTAGCGGCTAAGAAAATTTTTGTTAGTAAAAAGCGTTTGAGAATGTTCGTTGTTAAGACTCACGAGATCTATGCGCAGCGATTGGAAGATTTTCATACACATTAGCTTCTGTACCATAACTGGAGGAGCAAGCACCAGAGCAATAATCAGAGGCTACAGCTTCGTTTGGATTATATTCATAGTAAGAATGCGCAGCTGGACTACTTAAAGGCCTGTTACTAGCAGAGATTAGAGGCGACGAGCACGTGGGATTAATATGTGTAAGCACAGGTGTACTAGATGGTAAACCATTTTGACTATTTGCTATAAGCGATATATTAGTGGGATTATGAACCGTTAGATAATTAGCCGAAGAATTAGAAGGTGAAGCGTGCTGTCTGAGTAGTAGCATTTGATCGTTCCTTGCAGCAGCGACTGCTTCTTCGTAAGGTGGTGGAGCTTCCCCTTGCGGGAAATAACTACTTGGCGATTTCCACAATTGATATCCAGCACTACATGGCATGTGATCTATTGGCACTCCATTTGACACAGTATGTCTATCCAGGTAGACCATGCTACTGACTGATCTTTGATCATCGGCCAGTTGATGATTTTGTTCTCCAGCTGCACAAACTAATTTTATTTAAAATAAAGTGTTTAAATTCTATTATTAAAACAATAGAAAACTTCAAATAATATTTTCAAGTACTTTTAACAATTTGAAATTTTCTTTGCTAAACTTTAATATACGTTACCTCTGAGTTTTCTTTGCCTTAAGCGATGAATCAGGAATATTAAAAGAGCTAATGAAAGAAGAGCAATTATGCAACTAGCAACTAATCGTAGTCCCAAGCTAAGACCAGCATTATTGTCTAAGATGTTAGTTCCATCTGATTTTTCATTTGATACTTCATCAAGGCAAATTACCTCGCAGCATATGTCACCAAATTTAAAGTTTTTGCAACTTCTGTGCGACAAGTAGTCTGGATCTTTGTACTGCAAAGAATAATTGAAATGAAATTTTACTGTGAGATTGTTTATTTATTAAAATAAAAAAAATTGTTATACCTTGCAGTACACCGTCTTGCACCATGTGGGATTACCATTGTTACAAACACAGAGCGTGCAGGGCTCAGGACCAGGAACATAGTGGTTCCCAGTCTCATGACTCACTCCATTGATATCCTTGCACTGTCCATCGCCAGCCAACGCTTTGTCTGTAAAAGTACCATGAAAAAATTGACAGTCAATTAGAAATCGGAGATCAAAGGGTAGTCAAGCGTAATATAGCAAATGTATTGCATGAGCAGCAGCAGCAGCACGCATGCACACACGGCAAAGTAACTTTTTACTTCAGCCTTTGTGATTGTCTACACGCGTCCTAGTTTCCTTGATAAAGGTGAAAAAAAAAATGATCGAACGAACGTGTCAATGTTCACATAATATAATCTTTTTTTTCAACAATAATACCGAGGTCGTGTTACAAGTATGTTTCCATTCAAGTCCGATGGTAACGCACACAAAATATAATAAAAAGGTTTCATCGAAGCGTGTCGCGCGTTTTATATCAGCCGCGCGGGCGCGCGCGCGTGTTTATATATATCCACAGTCCACACGCGCTTTACTGTCACGTAAATATATGTGTGTTATGTGTATACCTATATAGATGTGTAATACGAAATATATACGTGCGCCACACATCGATACAAGACGCGCGTGAGAAAAAAAGAGCTAAACGTTCTCGACGTTATAATCAAAGTATTACAGAGAGAGGAAGAACGTCGTCGATCGCGTGCACGCGGCTATACTCGCGTGGACGAGTGTGTATGTGTGTGTGTTTACAAGCACGATATCCGCGACGACAAAGGATTATAAAGAAGCAAGAAGAGGTGAAGAAAATGTGTGTATAAAAAGAATAAGAAGAAAAATTGGACTTACGATTGAGCGTGACGAGCAGCAAGACGAGGAGTAGGCGCGCGACAAACAAATGACCAGCAGTATGCGACGAAGACAATAGGGGTAGAAGGTCAGCAACAACAACGCTGCACCTCATTTTCTGCATTCGTTATCTACTCGTCATCGCGTCGTCGCGTCTCTCTCTCTCTTCGTTTATTATTTTTTTTTATCTCTCTCACTAGTTCTTCCTCTGGAATATTATAGACACACTGGCGTGCACTAGTTCTGTCGTTTCGTGCAGCACGTCAACGCACAGAGTCTTTTTCTCTCGATACACACGTCGTCTCGCTCTGTGCGTTTTTCTGGTACAGCAGGCCAGCCAGTCAGCAGCAGCAGCCTAGTTGCGAAGCTCGAGGCGCACACAGTTATAGTGTGCAGCAGTCAGAAAATATTAGGTATGACAGCAGCAGTAGAAGCCAGCACGCAGAGAGGAGCTCCGGGGGGGTTGGAGCGGAGGGGGCTGGTGCAGCAGCAGCAGCAGCAGCAGCAGCAGCAGAGAGACTTTTAAATTGCTGCTGCTGCTATCGCGTGTGCGTCGGTGGTCTGTTTTGCTATGACGTCATTCGAGTCTTGCACGGCGAATTATAGATATATGTGTGTGTGTGTGTGCAAGGGCTGTATGTGCTACTGGATTGACGCGGCTGCGCTCGAGCTGCGCACGAGGCAATATAATCTCGCACGCAAGGGGTGAGCGAGAGCAGTGGGGAGGCGGCGGCATGCAAATCTATATAACTTCTACCCCCTGTGTATACCGCGCGTCATATAGGCCGTTGAAAATCAGCTGTGTGCTCGAGCGCTGCACTTTTTCGCTTTGGTTTTTGTCGATGTTGCTTCCTGCTTGCGCGAACTGTATATAGTATATACTGTATAATACTGGCACCGATGCACGCACGAACACGAACGAGGGTAGGATATGAAAGAGAGAGAGAGAGAGAGAGTGAAAGGCGGCAGCGACACCCGACACTGGTCCTCGTGTACGTATTATATTTTAGCTCTCTGTTGCAGACGACGACGACGACTCGACGGGGGTGTCGTTGCAGGCGAGCTTTCTCGTGTTTCCTGAGAAGTTTCGCTGAGAGCTGCACTGTGCACAAACACTGTTGTCGCGAGTAAAAGCGCACTAAACTAGGAACGAGTCCTATTATCTAAAAACACTGTTGACTTTGTCTTACGTTCGCGTACTATGCGACAAGTACATGTAAATGTAAATAGAAAAAATGCAGATAGTCGCCAGTGGTCGACAGTACCTTCAGTGGCCGCGAGCACACGCACAAGTTACGTACGATACGCGCGCGCAGAACACGAACGTAATACTGAACAGTATCCGCTGCGCTAAAAAGCCAACTACTGCCGAGTGCCGAGAGACACAACACGCGCTCGGCGTGCGAAAGAGGGAGTACTGCTATAAGACTGTGGCGTGCACCGCTGCTACTACAGCACGCGGCTTGTATATCCACATGCGATTCGCGCGTCCCCACCATTACATACGCAGAGCACATATAGTCGCATTGTGTTGGTCCGCTGTCGTTGGACCTCTCCTCGCTTCATCGCTTTGGACTATGAAACGTGCCTCTCTCGATGTGTGTGCGCGCCCACACTATATACACTACACCCAAGTACTGTTAACTGTTATTATATCGTAGTAGTAACGAGAAAAGTGCGAGTAACAATTCGCAGTTTAGCGATCGTATATAAGAGGCCCCCGCGCGACGCTTTTTAAATGTTTTTCCTCTTACTACTCGGGTAATGTATCACGTGTACTCCGCGCGAGGCTTTGGGAAACGATTCGCGCACTACTAACAGGGCTCGTAATGTCACCGCCGGGGTTATCGCGTTAATATATATGCTTACAAGCAGTTTGTTTTTCGTGTATATATCGTATATAAAGACGCGACACATCGATCAGAGTCCGTGCACATGAACGATATAAGTACATTATCACTTAACTCTCGGCTTATCCTCTTTCACGCGTCCCATAAAGAGAAAAAAAATAAAAGAAAGAAGAAGAATTTAATGCGGTACTATCGCGAGCTTTAATCGCTCTACGGCAGCAGCAGCAGCTCTTGCCTCATAATTTGACCCAGTTGCGGCGCGAAAAAAAAGGCTGTTTGTGTCTCCGAGAGAACTCGAGTTCGCGAGACTCGCTGCTTCTCGTACAAGAAAAAATACGAGGAATCGGCGAATTTTTTTTCTTATAACACACACACACAGCATCAGCAGCAGCATCGACTTCTCTCGAAACATGCCTAATGGCAACTTTTTTTCTTTCTTTTTTCGTACACTTTTTTGAGAACGTCTTTCCAGAGAGGCTGTATGTATATATAGCACTTAGGGCTGCACGAGAAAAGGCCGCGAGGGCAGTAGGTATAGGACATGGTTGACGATGGAAAAACGCGCAATAGCCAGCTTCTTGGATTACTTCGGGGGTGTCGCACTCGAGGGAAGAATCTATGTATTATAGGTATCCTATACCTATGCGCGCCGATACTTGGCATTGTTTCTCGTACTGCAGCGGGATCGGTTTACCTCAGCGCACGAGCAAGCCATTACATCGTACTTAGGGCCTTTTCCGTGTACGGGACCCACCCTCGGCCCGCGTGACACATCTGCTGCCGCTGCAACGACGCGAGTAAGACCCGAAAAAATTCCGTCGATCTTCCAAAGACCAATTCTCACGGTGACGAATGAAAATGTCTATCGTCGCGTCCTACGCTGTATGTAAGCGGGCAATAATCTGCACGCATTGCTGCTCTGCATTCGAAGCTCGAATTCGAATAAACAAGTCGCGCGCTTATCTGTATACCCGTACGCAGAGAGATAAGTCGCTTGTGTGCAGCAGGCGGAGGCCGCATCTCCGCGCGCAGCTTATGCAGCAGCAAAATGACTCGACTTGCAAATAGCCGAAGCTATTATAAACGATCTCGAGTTCGAGTTTTGAGCATCTATTGTCGCGCTCGACAAATTTATATCCCACTGCAAGTACGTATATAGTCATTATAATGTTATATGCGCAGTATATATAGGTGTTGCCATGTAGTAGGTGTTAGCGCGGCAGGAAGCGCGTGTCTAGCATTTCGAACGCTCCATCGATTGCAATTGCCCGTAAAGATACAGTGTGTACGTGCGCGGTGTTTTTTTTTTGCATCGGAAAGACCGTGTGCGTGTGCGTATATGCATTGTATAGTATCGAGACCGTTTGCGTGTGTGTGAACGCGTGTGTGCCGAATCATCGGAACGACGTCTATTTACGATGTACAACCACGCAGTCTATGAGTGCACGATAACTAGGCCGCTAGCGAGGCTCGGCACGCACACACACATACACACACATATAGGCACGCATCGTACGCTGAACTTTGAGCGCAATGGGACTTTGAGCTTTGGCTCGTTTCTTCCTCTCTTTCTTTCTCTCTCTCTCTCTCTCTCGATGCGCATTGCCAATATTTATATATTATCACAGGTCTTTGCGCTAAGCATTTATCGGATTTATATGATACCAGCAACTTTCAGGCGCGCTTCGCGCGCGTACATTTTTTAGTCAGTTTCGAAAAAGTTGCTATTTTAACCGTAGATGTCACTTTATTATCTTTCGACTCGAGTCAAAAGTCAGTCGACCAATCAGAGGCCGAATAGATTGGCTTCACTTTCAGGTCCATCATTATTTTAAGTGAGGATTCTAATTCTAATAATAATTTCCACGCATGATCAAAATTTTCTTCACTCACGTTGTATATCGAAATTTTACGTAAAGCGTCGCTCAGGAGGTAATTTTGTATAAGTACATAAACTTTTGTAACTTTGGAATATCACTATTGCCGACCATCGTCATGAATGTATTTTTAAAAGATAACCAATTCGATATATCACCGTCAAATTTCGGTAAGTCAGCTACGGTCAGCTACGGGTAATTTTAAACGATGCGTATTGTTTCCGGTTACAATCGAAGTCGTATTCATCGCGTTATCATTTGTACTCGAATTAAGCGCGTCACATCTACCAACTACATCGAAATACCGCTCTTCGACCGTCAGAAAATCGATGAGATTTTCGTCGTCTGCCGGTACGAGCAATGCAAGCTCATCATTTAATTCGACGTACGTTTCGAAAAATTTTTCTAATCGAACCTTACGCGCTTTTACAGATGCAATTTTTTCCGGACTGTCTAATGGATCAGACACTATTTTTTTTCTAATTGAGCGATCTGTCCCTTTAGAGTCGAGCGTTTTTGGTTTATGAATTTTAGTCGAGTCATTTTTCAATCCACTGATGCGACAATTCGAAACAGATAATAGTCGCGGCAACGCGTCAATGACAACGAGCTAACCAAGAAATCTCTTTATTGATTTTTGTCAGCGAACAGGGTAAACTTTTTTTAAACGAATCGCAACTTCCACGACAACTGTAATTATTTTGGATTGTTTAATGTATGTGTGAGATGCCTATCTTGCTAGCTACCGTCCAACCAAGACTGTGTATCGAAACACACGAGAAAGAATTTACGGTAGACTCGAATCAAAAATTGCAAGAACCCCAAAAATATATAATTAAATGGTACTTAAATTGGCTTGTTATTTCTGATTCCGGTCTTGCGAGACGATCGAGAGGGCAGCAGGTCGATGATGAAAGACGGATGGCAGTGAAAGATGGCGAAGAGAAATGACAGTGAGAATTGGTTGACGTTGTGAGCTCGGATTGAAGATCGAGGCTGCATCCTGGTCACGGCACCAAAATGTATGCTTGGTACTCTTCTTTCGAATGAGTCCCGATAGTTTTGTTTTTTAAAATAAATAAAAATTAACAACAACTTTTTTTTAAAGTGAGAAAAATTTTACGTTCAAAAAACTCACTATTTTTATTTATTAAATGAGCACAATTCAAACGAGAATTGGCCGAGGCCTCACTATCAAAGGTATTCACAAAACAAGTGATCCTTTGCAAAATAAAATTAGATTTTTGGATTTTATATCGAAAGCGATTGACGTGTCTCTCTGGAGGCTCGCTCGACCGTGCCCGTTATTCGTTGTTTATAACAAAACAATCTTTGATTGCCCGGTGGCCATGGTTACGTATCGAACAGTGTATGTAAGTACGCGCGTTGTGTATATGGATTTTGAAGTGAACAAGCGAGCGAAGACAATCAAAGCAGAAACGTTTGAGATTCGTACATCTAGCCCCGAGTCTGTGCCACGAATATGAAAAACCCGGGCCATGACTATCGAGGCAACTTGGATCATACGCATACGAATTTCTCTCAAATACGAACGATCTTTATAAGACGCAATAAGCAGTAAGTATAAAATAAAGGGCGTAATTTTCATTGAATCGTAGACCTGATAGAAACATTTTATTCGTACTGTACGTACAAAAACATTCTTTACATGAAAAGTGGTTTTTCCCATTATCCATGTGATTCGTATAGTTGGAGTTTTGAACTTTCTCCTCATATATGAATGGTCATATATCGATACTGAATATTTTAAAATTTACGAGCGTCCGGAAATCACAAAAATGGGTTTTTCCGAAAATCTAAATAAATTATCGCGTGGCGATGATCGTAAGTACGTGTTACCCTATGGTCTATAAAATTCGTCGATATGTCTTTCTCTGTCTATTTCTCTCGCGTGCGCTTGTTTGATGCATAAATTGTCTTGACCCTTTTTGAAGTCACAAATAAATGTGAAAAAAAAACTTTTTTGAATAGCAATCATTTTAGTTTGATTATTTTGGTGCAATCATTTTTAGATTGCACTGAATTGACGATTAAACTAAAATTTACTGTATAAGCTAATTTAAGTGTAAGTTATTTTTAAGAGACATGCAAATAGAGGCACAAATTTATATAGTAGGAAGGCACCAACGTTGTACGAATGAGGAGAGTTTACGAAGGAAAGAGGTTGACTGTATTAATAAAGCAGTGGATGATATTTTTATTCAAATTTTTTTATTTGAGCAAAACAGAAAATGTACAATTTTCAATGTGCAACTATTAGTTAATTTTTAACGGCGCCAAGATAACGGTATACAGCTCTAGGTTAATCAAGTCTCCAGTAAACATGGAACCGACAATGGTCTCCAGGCCATTTCGCATCAGCGGCCAAGTACGTGACCAAGCGAATTGCCGACAAAATTCTCTTGACATTTTCTCGCACAGGTGGAGGGCACAAATCTCTTGAGCTTCTGAGGTTGGGAGCTCCAACAATTTGTTCGTGCCTGAGAAGTACCAGTAATCTAGGCACGTGACTTCCTGCGTCGCCTTGCTCGGTTTCATACAGATCAGATCGTAGAGCGAAAGATTCTCCTTTATCATAAGCGTTTCGGCCGAGCGAACGAATTTTTTGTCGCCGCACAATCGTTCGAGGCACTGCGTTG